TGATATTGTTTACTTTGTAAATGATCGGTAAATTTATCTGTGGTATTCATCATCTTATATCAACCTGAAAATGAAAGGACACAGCAGACTTTTCTACATAAGCGATTATCTCAGTCGATACCTACAATGCTACCAACAGAGAAATGGCATTTTGATTTTCCAATTTGGGTTTTTGTATCTCTTTTTCTGTATTGTATTATTCCTGATTTCCCAACCTACGGTGTTGATATGTCGCGGTTGATTGGATATCCAAGAGCTTCTCAATATCACGATTTTCCGAGATTTTGATGTCGACGACTGACGTGGATTACTAAACAAGAAGATACAAGTTAATGATTTTTTTTATGTTTTATGATCGCCATCATTTTCATTTGTGTAAATGTTTCTTTTTGCGATGCTCCTTTGTATGTGTGCTGGTTTTCTTCAAGTGGCATTACTAGGATTGACCTGGATTTACATGGCTGTCCACAATGATGAAGCAGAAGACGCGTGCCCTTCCAGAAATCCTGGTACTATTCTCATTGTTCCTTTTTGAGTGTATCCGTGTGAACTTTCGATTCGCCTATATTTTGCCTTGTTTCGTATATCTAACTTTGAATTATCTATAGTCAGGCGATAAGAGGAATATAGATAAAACATGTTAAGAAATGAAAGTTCTTTGACAACAGAAACATAAATGTTTTTTTTTCAAAATATGGCAATATTCGGCCCCTTTCAACAAACTCAAAAAGCAATATCATGTTGAAAACATAATTTCGACAAAACAGCTTCCAATTCTAAACACACAAGACATATCAATTACCAATGGAAATTTATTGGAATTCTCGTTGACTTAATTAAAGAATGACATTTTAAAAATCGACGAACAAATTGGAAAAGCTGTGTCAGTGACAAGTGTGAGTGGATATCGTGCAGGAAGTTCCTGAAAGCTTGTGTAACATCAACAACTTTTGTGAGTGTCGGCGGGATCTTTGACGGCTCACGCCTCAAACTGCCACGCATCCAAAACACGAGTCGACACCGTCGTAACGTGTTTACACCGCCAGGATAATGGGTAACCAAATTCCTATCTCTCTGAGAAGATTGCCTAAATGCATTGTCTGAAAGAATCAATTCTGGATTGCTCCTTGGCAGTCAAATCGTTTCGCTAATCGTCAATTCTGAAGCCGATCTCGTCAAAAACGCCACTTTTGATTATTCATAATTTGTAAGTTTGAAATCGGGAATGGCATATTTCACGGCGCCTGAGCGTGTAGAAGGGTTTCCGCCCTAGAGAGCATGCGTCCATCAAAAACTCAATTCGATTGACTCTGGAGAATTATCCAATATCTGAGGAATTAAAGAAAACGAATAGACTAAAACAGACTATTAAATCTTTGATTTGGTCTTTATGGGTCTTCACGCACTTTGTATTTCGTGCATTAGAGTGGTGATTCGCCGTCACCCCAGTAACTCGGCGCCAAGCGTGACGTAAATAATATCGACACCAAAATTGAAAGACTTCTGCTACTGCGGGGAAATGACAGCAGCGACACTGCTGAAATGTAACTATAACCCTCTGGGAACCGCCCAGTTCTACAATGGAGAGGGAAGATAAAGGGTTTTTTTCCCTATAATGTCATGTTGTACTAAAAGAAAATGTCATCACAGGCGCGAACTAAAACGCGACTTTTTTCTACTTAATTGAATTAGACAGAAAAACAAGATTGCAATCCGTCAACACATCAGGAAAATATCGAATAGCGCATCCAGTTATAACGGAGGTCCGGCATACATCAGAACAACTACTTAATAGTTTAGACATGTTAATAAACAGCTTCATCCTTATGTTTAATATGACAGCACAACCGAATCAATATTTTAACAAAAATCCAAACACAGTAGTTATAGTACTATCTTTTAATATTATTTTGTTATCCTAGTAAATAAATACATTGATTAACAAGTTAGAAAGTATTTTGTACAATGTCACATTTAGAATTTAGAAAATTCTCGTTGATTTTAAATTTCTTACGTCGCCACCTGAAGGAAGCGTTGTTTAGATGTGATTTTTATAACGATTTCACAACCTGTTTTTCTGTATACTGTTTTAAGTGTGACAATTTTGTTTAAGCATCAGGTGTGATAATGCGGTAAGTTATTGTGATAAGTCAACTTGTTCGTGATTTACCTCTTAATTTCTGTTCTCATTCCTAGGTAAGTATGGTTTGTTACCATCACAAAATGGAAATACAGACATATTATCAACAAAGCCGTGATCTGAACTAAAAAAACGGGGGCAACATATAAGCAAACGTTAGATTTCCATTAGAACCAGTGACAATTACAAGGAAAATAAGACCAGGTGTTCCGAAAGGGAAGGTGTATCCAACTTCCGCCTCATCGACGACACCCGACATGTTTTTTATTTCGTCAAATAAAATAAGTATTGTCACGTTCCCATATGAGATTAAGGTTAATTACAACGTAACATCCAGGCATCCAAATGAGCATGAACACATCAAATTTTATATCGCATGAGAAATGTAATATTTCCCTGTAAGAACATAAGCATAAAACTTCATCATAGTGTTCCTTGATTTGCATGTGTCGAAACTCTGTATACCGTAGGTACAGCACTGGGCCATAGTTTGTTTGAACCATATATAAACTAAGAAAGAAGGCTAAATACGGGTGGACGCAGTGTTGCAAGACCTGATGAAAAATACAAGAACAATATCTCAGAGAGCTAGCTGTTAGCTACATATGAGACAGATGATTGCTAGGTTTTTTCGTCCAGTGGACAGACAGGGTCATTTTGAGGCGGGTCACATTGTAAGAGCTGGAGGCCACCTTAATGAACACCATACGATCAACAATACCAATGACACAAACACAACAACACAGACTGGTCGGTTTCTCACCTTCCCCGGAGACACACAAAACAGACAGACAAGACAAGTAAATATTTCAAAGATATATTGCAGAAAAACATGTATCTGCGTGAATGTTGACGTGTCAAATTGCATTAAAAATGATAACGTTTTTTCATATTGCGTTTATGAAAACTTTTATTAAGATTTAATTTCCAAATTTATAAAATTGTACTGACACATATTTTCCTATTTTCAGATGCAAGATACACTAGTAGTTATGAATGATCAAGGAACCCACAATACCTATATATACTAAACCCCATCATTTGATCAGAATTATGTAGCTATTCGATTGCAGTCACGATGAACCGGACCAGTAGAGATTTCGTAGGATTTGAGCTACTGGACAGGATCGACAGCTGTTGAAGTAATATTATAAAGGGTGTGAATGTTACATATATCACAACCTGGACAAATAAATAAAGCTTATCAAAAGTATCACAAAGACGTAAAGGATACGCTAAAGAAAAAAAATGTTCGTGTGAATTTATCTTTTCCCAGCAGACTGCAAGAAATAGATTTTGATCATTGTTGTTTCAAATTAGAATGAAACTCAGGTTGCGTAAAGAATTTGATTTCTTTGTCGAGTTTGGCAGTAAAATCTGTCAGATGACTGTTGACATACCGGAACTAATATTTACCCTCTCTTGACTGATTTTTTTCTGTACGTGGTTGAATTTTCGAAGAACTGATTAACAGTTTGAAGAAACCTTGTCAATTTAATTTTCAGATATCTCGGTGTCTTGATAGAATAAAACCATTTATGTAAACAACACAACACCGTGCCCTTCTACATAAGCCATTTGTATTTCATTCACTATGTATACAACAGGGACGAATTTCAACTAAACTATGATAAGTGTAATGAATTTCATTTCCCAGTTTTGACGTTTCCATTTCTAGATGATAATATTCCTGCTTCAAAAATACACGTTACTGTATATCGTATTTTCTCTAATTAACTCCCCAAATCCTCACTTAAGCCATAGCTATCGACATTTGATAGATAAACGTAAAGCGAGTTGTGCCCATATCCATGTTGATTTGAAGTTTGTGTGTATGGCGATTTCGTTGTTATTCACATTGCTCTCATATTTAGAACTTGTCGTAACTAGTATTGGCCTCGATTTTCGATTTGAACGTTTTCGATGAAGAAAAAGATTCTCTCGAAACTCTCGGTCTGATGTTTGTACACTTTTTCGGTTTCTCGATGGAAATACCTACTTAAATATTTTGCAATTACTTTAATTCATCTTATTTATCTTTTTTTAAAATTATTATTAGATATTCTCATCAGAATTCCTAGTTTATGGGTATGTCGGTATTTTTTCCCTTTCTACTCATTTATTAATGACTACTCTGCTACCTTTATCGGGAACGCAGGCACTCATTCTATCGCGCCATTTCCAATTCCTGGCTAATGTCATTTTCCCGAGGATGATACGAAGACACTAAAATCGAGTCCTGACTGACACAACCAATGAAATTGCTTCCAGTGTATATTACACTAGTGAAATACATGTATATGCAAAAAAATATTTCACGGAAGAAAAAGCTGGATGACAGGCAGATTATGTGATAAATGGTATATTTCAGAGTCCATGGATTAACCGGCCAAGAATTACTACAAACATCTTCCGTTGAGACTCGTGCATGGATGCATTCATAGAATAGCTGTATAAACAGTCATTAACCGGTAGGCCCAATCAAACCAGCCCTGAGCTGAATACATGTAGACAGAAGTTTAATCTCAAGCCATTAGGCGTAACTATAGCAAAGAAATCTCAAGTTTGGAAAAGTTTGATCTTCACGACTTGGAACCCGATTTTTTTAAAGTAGGTCTGTCGAAAAGTTGTATGAGCTGAAATAATTGGTTAATTTTTTAAATGAAAGGTGTTTGTACATAATATTTGAACTAAAAAATATGAAAGTAAATAACTGGTCCCGTAAATCGTCGAATTTATACAGCTAAACGAGGAATATGGGTGGGGAAAAAACATAAGTGATCCAAATGTTTATTGGATAAATTGGACCAATCAGAACAGTTGTTATATGTATCATTTAGGAAATCGTCCAAGATGGCGTCAATTGCTAGAAGGCTTCAAACGGAATATTTAATTTTCAATAGCTCTTTCAGCATGGAGTGTTTGGCGTACCAACAACTTCTATGAAGATAAACTTTTATTTCATTGCTACAAAGGTTAATACAGATCGTAATCTACGGTTTTAGTTATATTAGGATTGGCGTGTATGTGTGTATTGCTTTGTTCAGATGTTCGGTGTCAGCAAAACATGGCATGATGAATGAGAGTTATTTTCGGAATGTTGGTTTTGTAAAGCGGTTACAATCGTTATTATTTGGTATGTGTGTAAATCCTAATTTAGTTTATATCTTCAGGAGACTTTATACATATATTGTGACACAGTTGTGATTGGTTCAGTGATTGTAGTACGTGGATAGTCCGTTGTTCAGGCGTCGCAGTTGACTCGTCCAAACGTATCAAATTTTGTTTTTCTTTTCTCATATATGCAGGTTTATTAAGGTTGTTACTGTAACCAATGAGTTTTTTTTTTAAATTTGTACCTTTAAATTACACAATCCTTAAAGTTAATTTTCTTTTTGAAGATATGGAAGAAATATCCAGGAAATTGATAACTGTCATGATTCTGTCAGTGACCATGATGAGAAAACCGAGAATACAGTCTGTTATTTGTCAACTAGTGTTAGCTTTCGGAGTAAAGAGCAGAGCATATTTAACACTTTCACACCCAAAATAGAATATGTCTGTTCCCTGCAGGTCCATCTATACATGACAAATTACTTAAATCTATTTCCAGTACCCAAAACTTACCAATTGTACATTAATTTTACCCAAATCTATGACATATTGTCAAGATTTGTCATTTACTACACTTGATTACCAATGCAGCTATCTTTCATCAGTTTTTACCCAGGATAACTCAATAATCATTGGCATTATCTTTTCCAGTTTGTCTCCCATCCAACGCTGTGTTATCAAGTTACCTAGTTATCATTGAGTTTAACTTATAACTTAAAACATCAGCTTTTGGAAGGAAACAACAATATGACAAAGATTTAGGTAATACACCATGCCACCATACACCGCTTAGATTTAATCTGTAAACTAGATATACCAGAGGCACACAACATTATATATTTAGTTAACATAATACATGCCTTCCTCATCCAAATAGATGGGTGAGTGTGACCACTCATTCTTCTTTCAACAGGTTAATATTAATGATAAAGACATTTAAAATACTTTTTCTTCCCATGCAAAATTACTCGATGGAACATTCTTCTTGCCACTTGGGTTATGTTACCATCTAGATTTACTGACATTTTTAGCACGGCTGATCATGACCTATGCTGTGCTCCGGGCTGTCCAGTAATTCTCATTCAATATATATTGACCCTGTCTATCCGTAAAGAATCCTTGTTTTTGCTGTTTCTCTATTTTCTCTTAAGTACTGGATGGACCTTTCGCAGATTACATATATATTGATTTTTGAACTGATCAGAAAAAACAAGATGGCAACCATCTTTGATTTGGTAGTCAAATATTATTTATTATTGCTTTTTCTAAAGAGAAAAGAATAGAAAAGAAGGGGAAATATTCAACATTTAAAGAGCAAAGAAAGACCATACAAAGGTGTTATGTGTAGTGTGTGTTTGTACATGTTAAATGATAAAAGGGTGACAGTTTGGGCAGATAAAATAAAGATGAGGAAAAGTTGTTTTCATTGTAAATTTATATACTTAACTAGGAGACAAGATGATAAATGCATTTTTAATGATGCAAAAACTATTCAAACATGATAAACTAGTAACAGCTTCTGCTGGAGAGCAGATATGGAATATCCAGCATTTTGATTATACAGTTTGAAGTTGTACTATTTCCATATTTTTGTGTTTTTTTTTTTTTTTTAATATGAGAATTCTGTTACTTTTGCATGAAATTGTGAATAGTTCCATCCTGTAGTGACCATATGTCCCCTTGTCAAATTCTTAAATGTGAAATTCGTAATTTTTTCAAGGGTTTCTCATAAGCATCACTTAATGTTACAGGGAAAAAACATATATATTTCAAAATTGATAATTATATACCATACCTATGATAATGTGGTCTCAATGACTTAAGTTTTATAGTAGACTTATATTTTTCAGAAAATTCTAATTCATCATGATGGAAAAGAAGGTTAAGCTGAGGACTGTGAACTCCTGTATCACATGTACACTGTGTCGAGGATATCTTATAGAGGCCACAACCATTACAGAATGTTTACACACATGTAAGTCGCACACACTGTATTCACTGTGACAAAATCTTAAAATCAGCCCTATATGCAATAGAGTAACAGCATGTTTCCTGAAAACTTTCTATCTTCCATAACATTTCAGTGTCAAAGGGTGGGGATTTGTATAGATGTGATTTCAGCAATGGAGGAAGAAAACATGACAAACCATCCATGGTATACAAAGGTCTCACTATAACAACCCTGGTGATAAAATCTAAGGAGTGAGTCCAATACAATAGGTTCTTTGTTTGAAGAAGCTATCATTTTAGACTCACTTTAAAAGTTTAAAGTTGGATAAGTAAGTAAAATCAAGGATGTATTATTGAATTTGTAGATAAATACTTTGTTAAGGCCAGCTTCAGCACTGTTGAATTGCTCTTACTAAATTATTCCATCCATTCTCCCATTACAAAATCTAATTCCCATTGGATTTTTTTAGTCTGCAAGAGCTGCCTTGTACGGTACTTAGAGGACCACAATTCCTGTCCAAAATGCCAAACACTCATTCATCAAAGCCATCCAATGAACTATATCAGGTATGTAATATTACCAAATGGATACTCTTCTTGTCCTTTTTGTGAACTTTTTATCCGTATTTGTTTTACACTTTGGTTCAGTGTGATCACTCTTTCAGGGACATATACAATGTTTAGTTTATTTAACATGTAGCAGATCATGGTATGTTACATGATTCTGTGATATAAAAACAAATAACTCCCTTGTGTCTGTTATTAAACCATTTTTAAACAAACTTTTCATTTGTCCTGAGGAATGTAATAAATTTGTTCTTTATGTAACTCAGATATGGCAGTTGTAATAGATAGACCTTTTTCTTTACGTCACAGTCATGACAGAACTATGCAGGATATAGTGTATAAATTGGTGCCAAATCTCCAACAAAGTAAGTAAAATCAGAGGTAATGGAATCAGGATAATAAACATTAAATTTTTTAAATGTTTCTTTGTGTCATTTAACTATTTAATGAAATACTCCATAGAATTCAACCCTTGCATTTTTTAAAATCATAAGGCTAGCAGTTTTCCATAATTTTTGTTTTCAGTAGTTGTAATGAAATATTATAGGCATGATGTGTGAACTGACTATAAATATCAACAGAGATGGTATGAACAATGTAAACTGTGCTGGAATTTATCAGAATTAGTTATGAAATATTAACACATGCTTTTGTTGTTTTCAGAGGAATTAAGACGTCAACAGGAGTTTTACAGAAAGCATGCTTCCCAGGGTATTAAACCAGGTAATTTATAATGTCATGTTACCAGGTAACAAACATTGTAATTCATGTGTATTAAATCAGGTGGATCAGGTCAAAGTGTCACTAAAATTTCTGTTTGTGCAAAGATAACCTGTAGAGGATTCTAGTGATGTTAGCTATCCGATAGTGAGGAGACATTTAAAATTATTTTGACATGAAAGATAACAAAGACAGAACATGAAATTATTTGAAAATTAATGGTTTTTTTTTACTGCATTCAGAATGTGAAGATTTGAATGACAACCATACAGAGAATGCTGTGGCTGCAAAAGAGGAAAACAAAGACTTCCATCGTAATGATGAGCAGTTAAATGTTTGTTTAGAGTGTCAAGGAACTATGAAAAACTTAAAACGAAAATACTTACGAATCTCGTCACAAGCTACAGTCAGTCACCTAAAAAAGTTTGTGGCTTTAAAGCTTTACAGTGATCAAACAAAGTACACCAATGTAAGTATAACAATGCTTAGTTAGGTACTCTCTTGTACCCAAGTACAAATCTCTACCATGATACCATGTTGTACCTTTACCACCTGCTACCAAAATACCACTCAGTACTGATACTACTCTTTTCCTAAATAACACCCTGTACCCAACTTCCACCCTCTACCAATATAACACCCGGTACCCAGCTAGCACTCTTTACCAAAATACCACTCTATAGCCAGGTGTAAAAGTGTACCATCCTTTACCAAACCTGTACCCAGGTGCTGCTCTCTACCACCATACCACCCTCAACCTGAATATATTATTCAACCCTGTATTCATGAACCTTCCTTAAATAATACCATAAATACCATCCTTTACTTGCAATTGATTACTAATCTCTCCACAAATAGCAGCCCACACTCCAATTTCTGCTCCTACTCAAATACCACCTCTACTTGATACAGAATTTTATGGTTGGAAATACCAGATATGTAACCTTACTAAATGAAAGGAAGTACGGTACTTTAAAAGATAATATCATAAACTATCAAAAAGAAATGGCCCAGAGCCCATAAGTCCTTGGAACAATTTTATAAAAACTTGGTTGAGTTGTGAAACTTATCAAATCCCATAATTTGACACATCATATGTTTCTAGCATTGTTATTATGGAAATTGAGATACTATCTGATTAAAGTCAAAATTGGTACATGGGATGGCAAATACATTGGTACAATGTTCTCAAAACATTGGTCCTCCTGTGGTGGCCATGGTAACTGAAATAAGACATGATTGGACAAAATCTTATCTAACTGCTACTCCTAACCTTGTAAGTTGTAAATGTTATTCAATAAAAGGACTTAGGAATGGGAATAACAGGTCTTAAACAAGCCACGTAATGGATTGATAATACATATGTATATGGAAAGGCTATGGGGCATGGAGTCAAATGGTGCCTGTGTATTAGATAAGAACAACAGATTTAGTTTATACCTTTTGTAATTTCTGCTTTTGTTTCCCTTTCAGATTGAAATTTTGTGTAATGATGAATTACTAGGCAAACATCACACTTTAAAGTTTGTGGCTGTTACAAGATGGAGGGTAAAGGTTAGTAGTCATTGTACACCTAGGATTCTACTCAGAAACACACCTGATGTGTATCCCTCCTGTTGTAAATCCTATGTTTACCAGATACACTATAGTGGCTCTTTATGATCTCTGAAAACCTCAGGGGTTTGATGTAATTTTCTGTAGGTACTGCTTTGTCCATCTGTTTGTTTGTCCAAGGTGTTTGTCCAGGTCATGAAATTTAACTCAGTGAATGTTAATTAAATTTCTAAGGACTAACTTTCCATATTGTTTAGGTTATCAGGGGATAACTGCTATTGAACTCAGGTAATTTATATAAATTATGAAGCCTGATATGTAAAATTGACCAGAGTAAGTTAATCCTTATACCGTGTAGCTGGTTATTTTTGCAGGTATGACATTTTCACTTTCTTGTGGTGTATTAACATGACTGCGAAAATTTAAACCATGAATTAATGAGACATAAGTGTATCAGATGTCCTTTTTACATTCAGATCGCAAAATTTAATTTTTTTCAAATGTCATTCGGTCATTCTGAAAGCAAATAATAAAATCTTGACATGTTAAGATTACAAACTTTACCTTTTTATCAAATGTTTACAGTCACCAAAACGATAACAGTTCAATATTATATACAGTTCACTTGTATGACAGAATATAGATACAGTCAAACTTTGATGTTTCCAAGTCCAAAACAACTTTGATACATTAAGACATCAAATCATGCATGGCGAGTTATATCAACGTTTTCATGTTCATGGCTATATGTAGTTGATGACATAATATTTCTACCTGAACAAACACAACAAACACTTTCACACAAAATTAAAAAGTTTGAATGATAAGGTGCATTTTTATCTTAAAACAAAATATTTTCATGAATGAAAAAAAAAACCACAGGACTTTTAATAGAAGTAAACAAGAAATTGATAATGCGTGCTTACATTTACATTACAAGTTCTGTTTGCCCAATTATATCAAAATCTGATGTTAAAACTCAAATTTGTTATCTGGTCTATTCTCAATCTGGTTTAAAGAAGATTGATCAATGAAATTTTAACAGTATATAAGGAACTAGGATTGTGTGTTGGTGATTACTTTTCTCTCAAAATCAGAAGGCAGATGGTATAACTGAGGCCCGACTTCTGTACTGCTGACGGTAAATAAATTAAATTTAATGCATGTAGATATCAGACTTCAATATGATCTTTTCCTAGCTTGAGGGTTAGATAGAGAAGCCTCTCCAAAGAGGAGATTCAGCCTTGTCTTACCTGTAAGGAATCTCTTCTGAAGCTCGACATTTCTCTGTCCTACCCTCAAACTAGAGAATGATCCTTTTTCTACCTCTGATGCTAATGCACTTGAAATTAATTTGTATAAACAAAAATGATCAGATACAGTCTTACAATAATATTAAATTGTAAACATCAATCAGTCAGTCTCTCGTATCTCAAACTATAGATTTAGTATGTGTTTATGTGTGTGCAGGCGGTGTTACCCACAGAAGGTAGAGATATCTTATCCTCACTGGAAGTTTGGATATTTCTGTCTAGTGAAGTTTAAAAATGGTTTGGATGCAGTCATCACATTCTGGTTGCAATGATGTATTGAGAAATCTATTTGATGTTATTTGTTTTGCAGGATGGTCCATTACTACTTCACTACCGACAGAAAACATTGGACTTTTGATTTTGGACACTTTCTCTCTTGAACACAAGAAAAAAAATCCTGATGTTGATGATCTCTGCAGAATTTTCATAAACTGAAGAGGACTTTTCTCTCTCCAGAAAGTGTACATTAGATGTGTGAAGTGCTCCTTTGTTTCTACGGAAAGTAAACATCAGTTGTCTGAAGTGCTCTGTTGTCTCTGTTGAAAGTGAACTTAGATGTCCTAAGTGCTCTGTCGTCTCTGTTGAAAGTGAAGATCAGATGACTGAAATGTCAACTCTCTCGACAACAAATATATCGGATATCTGAAGTGCACTATTCTTCTCTCTACATAAAGTAAACATAGGATATCTGAAGAGCTGTATTCTCTTAACAACAAATAAATAGATGTTAACTGAAGTGACTACTACACTGAGGAATCACGGATCTGTAGTTACCACGATATTATGCCACCTACTGACCTATTTATTGTAACTAGGGGATACATACATACAGTTGACATTAATGTCAACACTCCAGTAGGTTTTCTTATAAATTTAGTGGGACCAGTTCTTTATTGACAGACCAATATGCTGCTATGGAAGAACATGTATTTTTTAAGGAAGAATCATATATATATATATATACTAAGTAGGCTAGAACTACATGTATCAGTAGTCATTTCTGATGCAGAGGATTTCAAACTAGTAGATCAAGCATAATTCTCTTTCAGAAGATGATCAAGGATGATCAACTGTGATATTGGGAACCTGAAAGAGCTGTACATGTATTAGAGTGATAATGCTGATGAATGGATTTTGTTACTTTGTTGATGATAAATATCTCATTAATGCTATTACCAAGTTATGATCTGAATTGAAATATCAACTGATGTTGAGGAAAGGCTTTGAGACATCAAAGTTTTTACTGATATGATGTTAGTAATCTTTGTTATCGTAACAAAGATTTTGCGTAAGAGGAAAGAGGATGTTTTATTTATTCATTTTGATTATTTGCCTCAGTTTATTGCCACATAATTCACATGATTGACTAAAACTAAATGTCTCACAGATGTTGATTCATCACATATGAAGTGGCGTTTATGACTGGATTTAATTTAGTCATTAAATTTCAGCCATTAGTTTTATGATAGGTTTAATTAACTTCAGAAATAATTGTATTTTGATGACTGTGAATGTAAGAAAAAAAAACGAAAAAAAAACCCTAATAAATATGACTGACTGGCTTTCTTTAGATTTAAATGGTTGGTTAGAGTTTGTTATTAAAAAACTTCACAATGTGGCTTTTCATGGACACTGCTTTATGTTGTAGGAAGTAGATACATGTCAGACCTAGCAGGAACATTTGCAATAGAGAAGTTCTAAGTACATAGTAGTGGTTTCTTCTTACAGATACAATAAACTTTGTCCAGTTGTACAATATAGGTAAATGTATTTTGAAATACTACATATCAAGTGACAGCAGTTTTTGTCTCTGTCCTACATGTATACAGGTATATTGTTAAAGAGATGAAAATGGGTCGTCATATCTGGATAAAAAAGGATAATTGTTGTATTGACTTGGATAACATGAGAACTCTATGATATTTCATTTTTATTGATAAAGTTAACACCTTAAGGTCATTTATTACTTTTTAGGTCACCTGAGACAAGGTCTCGGGGTGATTTGTTGTGATCCCCTTTTGTCTAGCGTCGTGCACTGTAAACTTTTAACATTTTCAACTACTTCTGGAGAACTCCAGAACTGATTTCAATGAAATTTTACTAAAACATTCCATGGCTAAAGGCGCACCAAAATTGTAAATCATATGGTACCCGACCCCCAGGGGCCTGGCCAAAAAGGATCAAATTGATTGAAACTTCAGAAATCTTCTCCTCAAATCCCAGGTATGGTAGAATCAAGTAATCTTCATGGATGGAAAGGCCTTCAGATGCTTTACCATATTGTAAATTTCATGACCCCAGGGCCTCACATTTCCCCCTGGGGAGGGGCTAAGGTTTACTATAATTTATATTGAACATCATTTATTTTTTATTGGAAAAAATGTTCAAACCTGGATAGAGTCAAGTGGGGCCAAAACTGGTCAAATTGACTGAAATTTCAAAGATGTTTGACTGTTCCTGGATGGTAGATTTTATATAGGAAAATTCAAATCTTGAGTGTAATTTCTTTTAAATCAAACTTGGTTAGAAGCCTTGGCATGGGACAGAAGTAAATGTATAAACAATTTACATTTGCATTTTGTGTACAATATAGTTTAAGTTATATGACTTTTTTTTAACAAAATCATTTCTATGACATGTTACAAGAAGCGATCAGGTGACCGTTAAGGCCCTTGGGACTCTTGTTAGACTTATTTATCACATGAGATATCCACTCTAGTTTTGATTTGCTATAAATGTCATTGATGAAACCAGATATATCAAATACCAGTAAATTGAATAAAGCTGACGACTGTGTACTGGTAGATAAAGAACAGTGATATAAATGTATGATAATACATATATTATTTTCACTGTAATTGAGGACTGAACACAATATTTTAGGAGTTAATTTAAACAGTTGTCTCACGTTAATTGTTGTGCTAAATCATGCTTAATTGAAGTTTCCTAGTATTGTAGTCAGTTGCATGTTTGAGTGTCACTTTGTCAATCCAGTTTAAATAATTCTTCAACTAAGAATGTTTAAAGTCATTTTGGTAGATTCCCAAATTAAAATTTGTCTATGATCTGCTAATTTCATATCCAATGATGTCAATTGTAAGTGTTTTACTGTGGAATGAAAGCAATATTCTGGATATGTAGCATTTAATGATGTAAACAGTTTCCTATGCAAATGTTCCTCATGATTTGTAATGTTGCTTATACAAAAGTTAATTGTACAAGGTTTCTCTTATGAAAAGATTTCTTGTTTCTCTAACCTCTATAAATGTATAACTGTATCCCTGGCATACATATTGTCAATATGACACTGACAGCATTTGGCATTAATTTTCTCATGATACCGTTTATGGGAGAACATTTTTATTTTCAGCTTGCCATGAAAATATTTGTCTTTGCATAGTGTTAAATCCAACCTAAAAAAATGATATATATTTCAGCGTTTACTGAAATCTTGACCCTGTGTTTTATTTCACCTTATTGAGGCAAAGGTGAATATTAAACTACTGCAAACATTTCCCAATAAACCGTAATTAAAACCCATTAATGATTTCTGGTAGAGCTTATGGCTCCTTAGATTTACTGTGATTTTGCTTCTATTTTCAAACATTTGCCTTGTAGTTTTTATTTTATTTTTTTATAGAAGTGGGAGTAAAAAAGTTTACTATTTTGTAATAATGAACAGATAGAGAAATTCTCACATGATCTAATTGGGGAAGAGAAGTCTTAGTTCTAAGTCTAGTTGTATACCCTCTGCTGGACACATGTATATTCTATCTGTCTATCAGGTACAGATTCACTACCACAGCTCATTAATACAAATTCTTTATATCTTTCAAATGATGCTGATTTAGAGATCTGTATCTGATGCACTTCTGTATTTCATTCATTGTCAGTTACAGAACACTGTTACATTAATGGTATGTCGCTTCAGTCTAAATTGGAATGTTGGTTTAACATGCTCTATTACATCGCTGAAATTTTGGACGTTATCAATTTGTTTAACACTGCATGAGCAGATGTTCAGTAGTATTGCTAAGTCCCTGTTCACGTGTACCTGATCCACAGCAGTATTCTTACATTATGGATCATACAATCTTTGAAGACAGCAAGGTATTCATTTGTTGTACGTTTTTTCCCTTATGAAAAACATGTATGTGTAGAACAAATAAATATGTTATATTTACTTTAGTGTTGATCATTTGTGGCCTGGAATTTTGTAAATTCTCCTTCTATATGTATATATCTGTTGGTGTGGGTGTATGTGAGTGTGTGTGTGAGGGTGTGTGTGAGGTGTGTTTGGGTGTGTGTGTGTGTGTGGGTGTGGGTGTGTGTGAGGTGTTTGGGTATATGTGTGAACAGGATAGGTTTCAGTTCCAATGACTTCTTGGCTCAAAAAGACAAGACTTACTATAACCGTCAGGCAACAAAGCCATGTCTGGTAATCTGGTAAGAAGACTACTATTTCTTGAGAAGTGCTGGATGTGTCTCTCTTAAACTTCATTTGTATGTTCCCTGTGGTCCTTAAATGTGCCCGTTTGATTTTGGAACTGATCAGAAAAACAAAATGGCAGACAAGTGACTATCTTGGATATGGTTGTTAAAGATTATTATCACCATTTTTGCAATTGTTCAGATTCTGAATTGAAATGAGCAAAAACAAAGGAGGGAAGAGAAAAGAAAGGAAAAGACCAAACATTTAAAGAACAGATAAATATCAAGCAATGGTGGACTCCATGCAAGAACCCCCTGGGATCTCTTCTTATGTGCTGTGTGCCAATTTACCAAACAATTTTTATGCCCCCTCCCTCCTCCATTTTATGGTGTTGGTGGTGGTGGGGGGCATATATAACATATGTATGTCAATCCCATGCCAAATCAATATCTCAATGGCTCTTGTTTATCTATAGTATCATATTACAAATTCTACACCAAATCAGTTTATGTGTAGAGTATGAATGGGAGCATTCTAGTCTTAAAGACATTTTGAAATTTATCTTTCAGTTTACAAAATTATTGAGCTAGTACCTCAGTAATGACTTTCAATCACACACACATATATACCTGCCATTAAAGTCATTTCATTGTGAGAAAATTTTCAAAAAAAAAGTGACTGACCTTACCACCTGAAATACAACTTTTTATATACCATGAAATCATTAATTTTTGTGGGTGACATATTTTTTCTTAATCACAAGGTTATATGTTTATAAAATAATATAATTAGTTTAAGGACTAAAGTAAAGTAAAGTTGATTTTTTCACGAAATCAAATGTCCACAAATAACGTTTAAAAAAAAAACCACGTAAATTGAACCCCATAAAAATAAATGATTTTATAGTATGTATGTTTAAGTCCCTCAAATCAATATTGTCCAAAATGCACATTACTGTCTCAAGCTTCACTGCATTGACCAAAACAAACAAGAAAGTCTTTATAATTTTTTTATAATAAAGGATGGCTACTCCATAACAATGATACATTCTTGTTTACAAAATGTAACAATACATAACAATAAATAAGATCCTGATTAAACAATATCAAACTTTAAAATTCCTTTGTCATCTCACAGTCAGTCTGAATAGAATTTCATAAATATTGGTGAACTTGTTTGAATAAAACAAAATTATGGTTGTGAAAATATAAGTCAACATCGCCCAAAATTATGACATGATTGAACAATTCAAATCTTAAGTTAAAGAATATAAAGGCTTTGAACTACCACTAGAGAGAAAATAATTGTTTTTGTTTAAAAAGATCAAGTGTCTTAACTACACATCTATTTGATTTGACCATTTTTTGATGATGTGCAAGATCTTCTTTCAGGTCATAAACTTGTATCTTTATAACACATTTTATAGCACGGTTACTAGATATACCGGTACAATAATCCTACACAGGTATAAAAGTGTACAAGCTGTCTTAAGGCTGAGACCAAAGCCTGGTAAATTACATTCAATCTATATGTGTATATTTATAGCAGAACAAATGTTGATGAGTTGTTAGGTAGGATTTGGTTTGAATCTTATAATATTCATTTATCTTTTCAAAAGTATTTTATGGAGAAGTCCTCTACACCTGTCAGTCACCATAAAAAATAAGTACAGGTGTATTGGGTTACATGTTACATACTATCTCAATCCATCAGAGAATTATAAATTAACAAACTGCTGGACAGTATTTAGAAATCAATATCTTCTCTCTAAAATATCCTGGCATGAAAAAAAAAAAGGTTTCCAAAACTTGTAGATCATTAATATCACTAGTCCTACAACATATATTTAAAAAAAAAAAAACAAAAATTAGACAAACATTTGGAGTTTTAGCCAACTTAGTTCCATGCAAAATCAGAAGATCTGAAGGAAAGAGAAGTTTGGAAAAAAGTGGGATCACAATTAACAATCAGACATATAACATCAAGACTTTACTGTCATATTCTGGTACTTACAATATAAGTAATAATAAAGAACAGAGAAATCCTAATAAACCATCAATTTTTTCCACAGTGTCTCTTGCTTTAAAACTTCATGTTGTATATAGAACTGACAAGTTATACTTGATGAAGAACAACATCATATCGTTTTAGTTTCTGATCTTAAATAGTAAAATATCACACGGCTAAAATGAGATATTCTGGACTTGACATCATTATATAGTATTTAATGAAAGTGAAACCGTGCCAGTACATAAGTAGATACTGGGAGCTTGATACCTTCTAGAAACTATCAGGACCTTCACTTGTGCCCCAACATGCATCTGCTCCATCCCTATAGTAAAGAATGATGGACAGGGAGGCCAAAACCACAACCATTTGCACAGCTGAGGGCCAGACCACCATCTGTCTTATCACCATCAGGCTCCTGCAGACAGCTAGCTGAGAACCAGTTGGAGGTGAGGTCTCAACTCATGAGGATCTATATTGACCTCCAACATTGTTGAAAGTGAGAAAATCAAGAAGTGAAATTGAGTCCCTTCTAAGCTGATAAGGAAACAGGTCCACAACTAAATATATCTTGTCTATAATGATTGCTGAAAAGCTCACCACCCCACTTTCTCTTATCATTAGGATAGATAATCATGTACAGACCACATAACACCAAATGGACATCTAGCATAGACACAGGAAACTTGAAACGTTCTCAGCTGACAATAAAACCTTTTCATGATGTTTTCATGCATTTGAATTCTATAGCAAATGCTTTCAAATATTAGGTCACCATCCATGATACACTCCTGTGTATACCATGAAGGAAGGGAGACTACTCACACGAAGGAAAGTGTTGTGATTTGTTGAGAGAGGGGTAATGGTATTAGATACAAAAGAAATGTCTGCTTTCTCCACATCACAAATCTCTTATTGAAATAACTATCAATTTCTAATATTTCGTTAATGGTCACTAATTGCACATATGATAACAAATTAGACAAGGTATAAAAATATATGTTAATTTTTGTTCTTCAAAATATGTATGTCTATAATTCATCATACAAACTGTACATAGTAAAAACACTTGAACATGGATTCAAAGATAACAGTATTATTACACTGCTACATAAAGCTGTAAGCTAAATGTCTTTGTTTCACTATAAATCATATAAATGAACTATATTTAACAGCCCTAAACAGTCATTAATACATAATTCAACAGCAAGCAACTTTAGCTCTCAATTCATATCCATAAGCAGTAATCTTAAGGTTATTAATAAATTCAGTATGTTCATATACAAAGAGATCATACCTAGACGAAATTTCCTTACTTGATTTATATAAGGTTTAAAAGACTAAAATATGGGATTGCACAAACAAATGTATGAAACTATAAACAAGTTACAATGTTTCAGCTCATGCTTAGTAATCTTGAAAAATAAGAAGGAAACAGACCACTGACTTTGTACATTTTACTACTAAAAATAATTATTATTGAAGTTTTCAACTCTCAAAAATTTAAAAACAAACTAAAAAGCTAATACCATTTATCGTTTGGTCAATATTTCCTTAATCATTTAGGGTTATTAATTGTTAATTTTAACACTTTAAGTATAGAAACACAGCAAATATCAATCTACTACATCAATAATGGCAGGTTCAACAGCTGGGTTTGTAAACAGATCAACATTAAACCATTTTCTTAAAGTTTTAGTAAAATCATCATATAAATTAAACAAAAGTGAAGTTTTAATGATTTGGCACAAGTCCTAGATACAGGGTGATGTTGACAACTGTAATGCACATGATGTTTTTCAGCTGAAATATCTTTTGAAGACACTTTCATCAAATGTATCTGAAATTTTCCTGTAAAACAGTTTGAAACCTATCTAAAAACAATCTATGTTAAACAATGTTCAATATTCTGTATATGTGTGAGGGGAGATAAATCCTTTGGTTCTCCCAAAGCTGCGTTCATTTCTCATCCTGGTTCTCTCCTAAAGCTGCGTACATTTCTCATCCTGGTTCTCTCCTAAAGCTGCGTACATTTCTCATCCTGGTTCTCTCCTAAAGCTGCGTACATTTCTCATCTTGGTTCTCTCCTAAAGCTGCGTACATTTCTCATCCTGGTTCTCTCAGACGATAATAAAGGATCATTGGTGAGCCCTACAAGGAAAGCACATGACCATAAAATACATTACATCTTTGTAAGATATCTTCCATATATAAAGTTTAATGATTTTTCTATGATAAAAATCACACATTTGCCAAGGGTTGTATCTTATCCTCAGAGGAAGGAGAGTTGTCTGTTTGCTTGCTCTATTTATCACCCAAAATTAACCCCCAAGGTCACTTCAAAGTGGCATCTCCTTACAGAAAATGGTGGGTACCTGCCTGAATATCATGCAAGATGTCCATCACATGTTACCCATTGCAACGAGGGTACAATGCATTGCTCATAGACATGCAGCAGCCATGACAACACAGAATGATCTGTGATCTCAGCTCCAGGGATCTCCTTTTAGTAACTATTACTACCTCACTGAACAACATATGGGAGGCCTGTCACATGTCATTTAAAGCAATTGGGGTTTAAGTTACTTGCCCTAGGAAACCACATCAGCACAGACTTGTACATTTCTAAGCTTCTCGAGAAACACAAACTGCTTTGTATAGGGAAACACCAAAAGCTATGGGTAGGGAAAATCCAACTGAGCTATTGTGGCCAATAATCTTTCCTGGAGACATAAACCATCTCAAATAGTAATTTAACTACATATCTAAGATCTTCATCTGAAGTTGCAAAGTGCAAAGCTCTACCAGCAGAGCTATTCCAGCTTGAACAATTGATCATATAAAGCTACATTGTACATTGAATTAATATTGTCTCAAACAAAAAGAGCATCAAAACTTTCATTGAACTCTCATAAGAATACATACCCGAGGACTCCAGTACACCAGGTTCACTTGTTTCATAGACATCTCATCTAACAGCTCATCATTGTCACACATCATCTCCACCTGTAAAGTTTACACAAGCAGAGTTCACACAAAGATCTCAATCTGTAAAGTTTACACCAGCAGTGTTAACATGACTGTACACAAAGATCTCAATCTGTAAAGTTTACACCACCAGTGTTAACATGACTGTACACAAAGATATCTACCTGTAAAGTTTACACTGCCAGTGTTAACATGACTGTACACAAAGATCTCTAACTGTAAAGTTTACACTGCCAGTGTTAACATGACTGTACACAAAGATCTCTAACTGTAAAGTTTACACTGCCAGTGTTAACATGACTGTACACAAAGATCTCTAACTGTAAAGTTTACACTGCCAGTGTTAACATGACTGTAAACAAAGATATCTACCTGTAAAGTTTACACCACCAGTGTTAACATGACTGTACACAAAGATTTCTACCTGTAAAGTTTACACCACCAGTGTTAACATGACTGTACACAAAGATCTCTAACTGTAAAGTTTACACCACCAGTGTTAACATGAATGTACACAAAGATATCTACCTGTAAAGTTTACACCAGCAGTGTTAACATGAATGTACACAAAGATCTCAATCTGTAAAGTTTACACCACCAGTGTTAACATGACTGTACACAAAGATCTCTACCTGTAAAGTTTACACCACCAGTGTTAACATGAATGTACACAAAGATATCTACCTGTAAAGTTTACACTGCCAGTGTTAACATGAATGTACACAAAGATATCTACCTGTAAAGTTTACACCACCAGTGTTAACATGACTGTACACAAAGATCTCAATCTGTAAAGTTTACACCAGCAGTGTTAACATGACTGTACACAAAGACCTCTACCTGTAAAGTTTACACTGCCAGTGTTAACATGACTGTACACAAAGATCTCAATCTGTAAAGTTTACACCAGCAGTGTTAACATGACTGTACACAAAGATTTCTACCTGTAAAGTTTACACCTGCAGTGTTAACATGACTGTACACAAAGATCTCTACCTGTAAAGTTTACACCACCAGTGTTAACATGACTGTACACAAAGATCTCAATCTGTAAAGTTTACACCACCAGTGTTAACATGACTGTACACAAAGATCTCAATCTGTAAAGTTTACACCACCAGTGTTAACATGACTGTACACAAAGATCTCAATCTGTAAAGTTTACACCAGCAGTGTTAACATGACTGTACACAAAGATCTCAATCTGTAAAGTTTACACCACCAGTGTTAACATGACTGTACACAAAGATCTCAATCTGTAAAGTTTACACCAGCAGTGTTAACATGACTGTACACAAAGATCTCAATCTGTAAAGTTTACACCACCAGTGTTAACATGACTGTACACAAAGATCTCAATCTGTAAAGTTTACACCAGCAGTGTTAACATGACTGTACACAAAGATCTCTACCTGTAAAGTTTACACCACCAGTGTTAACATGACTGTACACAAAGATCTCAATCTGTAAAGTTTACACCACCAGTGTTAACATGACTGTACACAAAGATCTCAATCTGTAAAGTTTACACCACCAGTGTTAACATGACTGTACACAAAGATATCTACCTGTAAAGTTTACACCACCAGTGTTAACATGACTGTACACAAAGATATCTACCTGTAAAGTTTACACCACCAGTGTTAACATGACTGTACACAAAGATATCTACCTGTAAAGTTTACACTGCCAGTGTTAACATGACTGTACACAAAGATCTCAATCTGTAAAGTTTACACCAGCAGTGTTAACATGACTGTACAAAAAGATTTCTACCTGTAAAGTTTACACCAGCAGTGTTAACATGACTGTACACAAAGATCTCAATCTGTAAAGTTTACACCAGCAGTGTTAACATGACTGTACACAAAGATCTCTACCTGTAAAGTTTACACCACCAGTGTTAACATGACTGTACACAAAGATCTCAATCTGTAAAGTTTACACCACCAGTGTTAACATGACTGTACACAAAGATCTCCACCTGTAAAGTTTACACCACCAGTGTTAACATGACTGTACACAAAGATCTCTAACTGTAAAGTTTACACCACCAGTGTTAACATGACTGTACACAAAGATCTCAATCTGTAAAGTTTACACCAGCAGTGTTAACATGACTGTACACAAAGATCTCCACCTGTAAAGTTTACACCACCAGTGTTAACATGACTGTACACAAAGATATCTACCTGTAAAGTTTACACCAGCAGTGTTAACATGACTGTACACAAAGATCTCAATCTGTAAAGTTTACACCACCAGTGTTAACATGACTGTACACAAAGATCTCTAACTGTAAAGTTTACACCACCAGTGTTAACATGACTGTACACAAAGATATCTACCTGTAAAGTTTACACCAGCAGTGTTAACATGAATGTACACAAAGATCTCAATCTGTAAAGTTTACACCACCAGTGTTAACATGACTGTACACAAAGATCTCTACCTGTAAAGTTTACACCGCCAGTGTTAACATGACTGTACACAAAGATCTCTAACTGTAAAGTTTACACCACCAGTGTTAACATGACTGTACACAAAGATCTCAATCTGTAAAGTTTACACCACCAGTGTTAACATGACTGTACACAAAGATCTCTAACTGTAAAGTTTACACCACCAGTGTTAACATGACTGTACACAAAGATATCTACCTGTAAAGTTTACACCAGCAGTGTTAACATGAATGTACACAAAGATCTCAATCTGTAAAGTTTACACCACCAGTGTTAACATGACTGTACACAAAGATCTCTAACTGTAAAGTTTACACCACCAGTGTTAACATGACTGTACACAAAGATTTCTACCTGTAAAGTTTACACCACCAGTGTTAACATGACTGTACACAAAGATCTCAATCTGTAAAGTTTACACCACCAGTGTTAACATGACTGTACACAAAGATCTCAATCTGTAAAGTTTACACCACCAGTGTTAACATGACTGTACACAAAGACCTCTACCTGTAAAGTTTACACCACCAGTGTTAACATGACTGTACACAAAGATCTCAATCTGTAAAGTTTACACCAGCAGTGTTAACATGACTGTACACAAAGATATCTACCTGTAAAGTTTACACCACCAGTGTTAACATGACTGTACACAAAGATCTCAATCTGTAAAGTTTACACCACCAGTGTTAACATGACTGTACACAAAGATATCTAACTGTAAAGTTTACACCACCAGTGTTAACATGACTGTACACAAAGATCTCTACCTGTAAAGTTTACACCAGCAGTGTTAACATGACTGTACACAAAGATCTCTAACTGTAAAATTTATCATACATCGTTCTAGCTTCTTACCAAATGTCACACCAACCAACTGAACTACTTTATGAATAAATAAAGATGTGGGTTACTACTCACTGAATGGAGATTAAAATATGAACTATCCTTGATAACAAACAACAGATCTACTTTATCCTGTGTAACACTTCTGATTGTCTGAGTTGTATCTTACCTCAACTCCTGCAGGAATGTTGAGTTTTTTGGTGATAATTCTCTTCAAGTGAGCAATTAGAACACGTACAGAACATCTGATGAACTTTCTCTCCAGGACTTTCAGGTCAAACGCCTCCCCACTCACCTTAATGGACTGAATACTACAAAGATATTTAGAAGAGTTACTTGAGATTGAAAGCAGACAAATCCTCGGAGAGGTGTCAGTCATTAAAAGCAAAGAGAAACCTTTTTCAAGTTATAACTTCAGCTTCAGAATTTCTAAAATTATTCATTTTGGATGATAGTATGGAAACACTGCCGCAGGTTGAAGTAATGAATACACTTACCAAGTATGTTGTCAATTAAAGAGGCATATCTCCCTTGAAATTCTAAGATTTAAATGAGAAATTGCAAACAAGTTCACAACTACTTTTGTACTATTTAAAAAAAAAAAATTTAACAAAAAAAAAAAAGGTGTTGAGGGCATCAGGAGAATCTTTGGTCTACAGGCACTAAGGGAGAGATGGATGGACATCCTGTTTCTAGGGGGCTACAGGCACTAAGGGAGAGATGGATGGACATCCTGTTTCTAGGGGGCTACAGGCACTAAGGGAGAGATGGATGGACACCCTGTTTCCAGTATACTCACTACCTTGATTACTGGTCTGATATAAGATGATGAGTGTTATGTAAGTCAGATACTTAAGACAGTATGTTAACTTACAGTTCCTCATCAAATACAAATTTATAGTCAAAACATTTTTTTTCTTTGATGTCGGTCAAAGGTCGGACTGACTTTTGATGCATGAAACACCACCTCACAAAGGTTAATCATTATGACCCCAAGTATGAAGATCCAGTAAAAAGTAGTGGAGGCCAAAGAACCCAGAAAAAGGTCAAAATGTAGGTCAGAGTGGCCTTCTTTTGATACATGACAAATTGCCTCTCCATATTCAAGGTATGAAGGCTGGACAGACACATCCAGTTCTTGGTGGTGGACCAACAACCTGGGAACAAGATCTGGTAAAGTGATTTACCAGTATAATTCCAGGTTGGTGTAGAATGATCCAGATAGATCAATAAGGTTTTTGTTTTCTGGGTTTTTTTTCCCTTTTTAGTTTTATGATTCAAAATAGGTGTGAACAGGCTCAACATTGATTTACCTGTAACGCTCCAGACAAAGTCCAATCTGTTCATCATATTTAAATTGGTGAGCATCTGGGTTGTTCAAGATACATGACAATTTTGGAGTGGCCTTCTTCTCCACAACTATGCCTGGCAACAGAAATTGAAAACAGGACTTAAATATACACTGTCAATTTCTTTGGACTAAAACGAACAATGAAATCATGAACATCTTTCAAATTGAAAAAAAAAAGAAAAAAAAAAAATCTGCATTAAGCACTTCTGAATTGTGTGCCAGAGAGAGACCCCCATTTCTTCATATTGTTTCAGTGTAACACTAGTATGGTATGATTGCATTTTTTTCCCTCTTTACAAAAATATTTCTACTTCCTACCTTTCTTTTGTTTTGCAAATCCTCTTGATTTGTAGAAATCTTCTCTTCTTTTTTCTTCATCTTCACAATACAAAATTAAATCATGAATTTGTTTTTTTAAAAGCATACTATTACTTTGTAGTATATTTTAAGTGATTACCAAATATATCCCTTATAAATAAGTAAATACGAAGAGATTGCTTTTTTCTTAAAAATGAAATCATAATTGATTATATCTTTACAGTAATTATAATATAAACGGTGTCTGCAGATCATTGAAACATTCATTTTAATACTGAGTTACTTATATATATCATATCCTGAGGTTAAGTACTGTTGATCAGCACTAACTAGTGTACTTACTTTCAAACAAGTTAGGCACAAGTTTGTACACAATGTCCTGCATGGTTCTGTCAGCCCGAAGGTGGATCAGTGGCTGTGATTCATGGACCTTGTTCCCACATTGTGGACAACTCTTACTTGTTTGGAGGTATTTAACTATACAGCTTTTGCAAACTGTCAAGAAATAGACAAAACTTTCAATGGACGTGGTTTTCATTGTATGTGTAATTTTATACATTTAAATAAATAAAACTGAGTATTTATTTAAAGAAGTCAAAATGCCAAAATTGAATTCATTCCAATTGTGGCATAGTTCAGAATATACACATATACTTTGCATTCTTCTGAAATTGTTTGACATATGAAAATTACTAAATTTATTGGATTATGGGACAAGTGTACCTCCAATCCAGACTTTTGACGGTTTTTTTCATTAGTTGCCTCCAAGTTTCAACAACTCAAGCCCTTAGGATGAAACAGCTGACTGATGCAGCTTAATTCATTATATAGCACCACTGAATCTTATTCCAATGTGTGTTAAAAGGTGCTATTCACTTTTGTGTGTGATTTGTATAACTTTCAAACTATATATATACATTCAATAAGCCCATGTCAGATAATGAGCCCTTTCCAGAACAACAACAGTTTTTGTAGAAATGCTAACAAGTGCAAACAGATGGTTGTGTCTATTACCAGGAATGGGCTTATTGCCCAATATTACAGTACATCATTTCTTTAAAATAAGCACATCCCTTCACCTTGAGCTGCGTTTGGGTTGGCTTTTGTTTAAAATCTCATTAACAGCTATGGTTGTTTCAGAAAGGCCTTCTTGTATGAATGTGTGTGTGCATACTTGTGATAATTTGTAACTGGTACTTTCTGTTAACAGTAATGTGTGGGCCTATTAGACATAGAATACAATAAGTCTTACATAACTCAATCAAATATGTTAAGAAAACAAATCAATGACCCATTTTAGTGATGTTATCAAATACTGGTGACAGTATTTCAGCATGTGAGCAAAAATATCTAAGATTCACTTTCCCAATTATTTGACCCTAATAAGTTTTGTTAGATTTTTTCATGCAAGTCTAGATTAATAATTTTGATTAATTCTAATATTAAGACATACAGTGAGTTCTCAAAATTTGTGTGAGTCTTACAAGAAAAGCATAAGTCAAATACCTGATTCCCAAAAATCACTGAACCAACAGTGAAACTCTGGAACATAACTGCAGGAAAATAACTACTGTACTCTAAAAGTTGTAAAAGTCATCTCTGACATGTATTTTTCAACAACAAGGTGCTAATTATTTCCTCTACAGAATTGATGTCCTATAGAATGATGACATAGAGTATATTGATCTTAAATTTCCATTCTCGTCTTCTTGAATGACTTTTGTAAAATTCTGTCCAGGCTAAGGAGTAATTACTATGCTATTTGTAGACATGAAAACCTAAATTTTTATGCAGTGTTAATTGTAGAAATACATTCAATAGGTATTGCTGGGTTTAAAGTTGTAATATTTCTCTATCAATAAAACAATTAAACAACAGACTATTCTTTCACATATATATAAGGTTAATAATAAGTACAGACGGCAATAATCCATACAATGTATATATATATGGGATGTGTTTATGAAACAAATCTGAAAGTTTCTCATTTATGTAAGTCTTTAACAAGCTAAAATGAAAAATTTGAGACAAGTTTCGAAGATCACATATCCAATAGAAACAAATATATATAATATAATATTTAAATCCCATGTAGCCTCTACTCAGGATGTATTTAGTCCTTGCGGGTATATGTAAGATGATACAGCAGATTAAGGTTAACAGTGGTTATACCTTGGGATACATTTCAGCATTTCGTTATGATAAATTTCTCCATAGTCTATGTCGATTATTTGCCACCATCTTTGGACTAGTGTTAGAATTCGTGAGTATATCGTGGATAAAACCATGAAAATTATCCAATAAAAAGATGTGTTACATAACTAATATTGTAGAATGAGAAGCAAGTATTGGCATGATCATGACCTAACAATTTACAGGTATTTAAGGCGTGCGATACTTACAGGTATGAAGACACTCAGTGGTGGTAGTGGCATCAATAAAGTAGCCACCACACAGAGAACAAACGATATGTTCATTGACATCATACACACGGATCTTCAATAGCTGTGTGGCGATTATATGTAAATAAAAACAGTAAAATAAACGATTGGTAGAGTAAATAATAAATATATTATCATCGATATATGTAAGCGAATTTATATCACTTATTACAGCCATTTAAAATATCCAAATCATTTACTATAATGATCAGGGGCCCAATTCAGCTGTTATAATATGGAATTATCAGATGATATACGTAAACAGCCATAACATCCCCGTAATAGACCCTGATAAAAAAAGCCGAACACGAACTAATTAATGTGTTTGCATAATGAATTACATTTAAACTATACGTATGAATAGTTATGGGTATATATACATTACTAAATCATCAATGTTTACCTCGTCCATGGAAGCGTCCATCTTGGAAATTGTTTGACAGGTGCGCGGTTTTTTTCAGTCAAAGAAAGGCTGTGACTTTTTAAAATCTGGAATTTACTTTTATTTAACATGGAATAAAATTCGACGTGTTTTTTTTATGTTGTACAGTATTTTATTACTTTCATAAATCCTACTTTCGGTTTTATTTACGAAAATAAACTTAATTAATCAGTCACTTGTGCGTTTGAACCAATAGTCCGTGTGGGGTGGGAGTAAAGCGCCTTTCGGAATTAAAAATTAGACGGAGCAATGACAGGTGACCAACATGAAGGGATTTCTTATAATAAACAGAATAAATGACATTTTGTTCACCGATTGCGATGATGATTTTATACGCAATATCAACAATCAGGCCATAGAGGCAGGATTACTTCAGGTAATCAATTACAGATTTCATGACAGGTAGAAATTATATAATAGAAGGATACACTGAACACATCCTCCAAGCTTTAGTACAATATACTATATACTGAATGTCTGCTTCTTAATGTGATCAAATGGACAGTCACATTAAAGGCATTCACTGCTTATATTAGATTCGTTATATTTATTGAATCGATTTATTGCTCATGTGTCTGTAGAACCATAGATTATAATGCCAGTGATCTGGCTGTCGGATCGTATGACAGAGGTGTGTCACTCCACTCTTCTTTCTAATTAATAACCAACGAAATCCCACAAGTTGTAGTATTTACAGAGTATCCAGCTGATATCTATGAAATCTCTGGAAAAACAAGCTCCGTGTGATATCTATGAATATCAGGAAAAAAAACAAGAGAGTGATGAAAAAAGAGTGTTGGGGTGGCTTGAACACATTGTTAAACATCATGTAGCAGAGTGAGTTAGCTTCTTTGGTTTTATAGAGCTGTGGATTGTTATGCTGAAGACACTGATTTGATTCCTGCTGGGAACTCAGCAGGAATTTGGGTTTCCCTGTCATTTCACATTTATTAGGTTGATACTTCATCCTTTAAACAAAAGTGCCTGATTTCTGGAACTTAATATATTTATATGAATTAGAAAAAAACATTCTCATGTAGGACAGAGATAATTTAAATAAAATATATTTCAAATTTTGATTAGGTGGAAGACAATGATGGGACCTTGAATCATAATATCATTATGCAGCTATTCTCCCCACTGTTTATGTCACAATGGTTTCTTATCGATCACAAGAAGAACCCCTGCCTGTCAATCACCTGTGAGAATGACTACCTCTTTGTCTTCAAACAGGTCAGTATCCTTAAAGAGTCTTTATCATTTCAAAAGTTTTTATACGTGTACTTGCCAAAATTTCTGGAATTTTTTACTCTATTATACTAAATCTGTAGAATTATATGCATTATACATTAACAGTTTGTTTTGTTGGAAGATGATTTTTAACTTGATAGTTATGTGATGCTATGTTTAATAGTTTGAAGATTTGCTGTTGATTGTGATCAATGGAGATCAGACAGAGACTGAAGAGTTCCTACATCGCAAGGTCTGTGTGTTTGTACGACTCATGGAGTTCCTGTTCGGGCCTGCCACTGAAGAGTATGACATTATTTTGGAAAATAGTTGCATTAAAATATCAGATTATTAAAGATTTGGTTATTAATAAACTAAGCTGTTGACCATTTGTAGAGTTGATAAATTAAATCTATGCTGACTCAACACTGTTGTAAGCTGAAGATTGTGGCACGTTTATATCTTATAGCGTGCATTTGGTTCAACAGTGCTTTGTAATGGTCAAGCTTGAATTTTTCTGATATCTATTAATTATAGCCTTGAAAGAATTCTGATTTTGAGGATACAAAGAGCATGGTACAGTTTTAAATTTAAGTCTTAGCATTTTATATAATGTTTTGGTTATTTTTCTCATATAAATTGTACCTGGACAATGAAACTTCTAAATTTGTGTTGATAATAAGTCGTGCTTTGGACTATCTTGGCCTATTGATTATTACTGACTTTCTATACCCTTTTTATCTAAACTCTTTTTCACACTGTGTATAATATAGTTCTTTCCTTTGATGTCATAACCACAACCTCACCTTTAGTGTGTATGGATTAATTCAGGTTGGGGCACAGTAAGTTTGCAGACAGAAGTGACCGATGGGATTTCGTAAGAGGTGTTTTGTCTACTTACAAGCAACTTGTTATGGAGGAGCAGTCATTTCTTGTTGAGGTAAAATTTTGATTTATTTATCTTAGATATATTACCTTATTAAATTTACACATTTTTGAAATAGTTGCTATTTATAAAGTTTTCATTACCATACCCTTGCCCAAAACTATAATTATGGATTGGAACCTGTTATTTGCGACTCACTATTTTATAGTGAAAAAGAAACCTATACCTTGCAAAAATTTTTTTGTCCCTAAATGAAACAACATTATTCAAATAGTATAAACAAAAATAGTTATCTTTCAATCACAAAATGGTTTGTTACTGGAGAAGACACCACTATTAGTACAAAGGGATCAGGACATTTGTCTCTTTGAGATTGTCATTTCAACCATAGGACTATTCTGTTAATCAAGTTCTCATACTTTTGTTCACATTAGGATAGAATCAGTAAAGAGACAATTTGCCAGTATTTCATAAATCAAAGTTACTCACCATTCAGTTATTTTTGTTGAAATGGAAAGTAACACCTGAGTGATGTATTGTTTTTGATATAAAAATAGAAGTGTTTTTCTGAGTACAGATATCTTGAGATATTTATAAGCATGTTGTTGTACGGTTGCAGGCTATAGAGAGACTACAGGTGAACCAGGCAGTCAATGTTAAGTGTATGGAACTGCTCGAGTCTGCCATTAATAAGATACAGAAGTCTGGAGAAAAGGCAACACATCACGCTCTTCTTATTGTCAACAGTAAACTACTGTCTCTGTACTCAGAGTAAGAAATACATTACAGTTGTCACTCCTTTAAACTCTTTTTGATACATATTGTCTTTTCAAGGTTATAAGTTGCACTGGCATATAGACTGCAGAGCCAATTTTTATTGACTTTCTAAATTTGGTCTACAGTCACACCGGAATATAAGTTGACATAAGTTTATTGATACAGAATAATGATGTATAACACAAAATGAAAGGCAACTAATCAAGATCATCAGTGAAACATTTAATGAAGTTTACTAATTAATTATGCACAAATAATCTTTTATTTTACTGATGTTTTTAACAAAATTATTTTAGTCATTTAAAATATATTAAAAATTGAGGCCTTCAAAGATTATCTTCACACAGATGTATGGCCTGAAATTACACGCGACAGTATGTCTTACTTTACAATCTCTCCACCGGTGTCTGTACTATTTATTATTAACAAAGACCCTTCTATACTGACAAAGCTCCTATGATCCCATGATATTTCTTCCTGAAAGTTGAATAAAAGCTGCTCTTATCGTAAACAAACATGTCGGCTGTTAATTAACCACGAAAGTCAAGAAGATATTATTGGGATTCAAATTAAACGGTATGATTAATTAATTACATGAGAATGTCTTTTTTATTGCAATTTTCATATCATCCTGTGTACAATTACAAGTGACAGTTTTACACAATCTGTTTCAGTCACAAACACATGCTGGGCGGGTAGAGTGATTTAAATGTAATGTTTACTGTGCATATGATGCATAAAAAGACATTTTTTTCCTCCTGATTTTTTTCATCTTCATAAAGCCACTTCGGTATTCAAAAAGTTGCAACTTCTTATCTAGAAAATATAGTAGTTGTTACTTGATCATTGTATTGGTGCAATAGAGCATGACTTATGTTTGTAAGGATGGATTTATCGTTTGATAAGCCCAGGTAGCATTTATACGTATCATTTGACTCAAAGTCAGGATCTTGGCTTATTACATGATATATTTCTATATGACATTTCTACTGAACTGTGTTAGGCTTTTTTGAATGAACTGCTTGATGATATTTGCATGAAATTGATTTTCCGATCCTAATATCAGAGGTCAAGGTCACTTACTATAAATAGAAATTAGGTTCCTGCCAAATATCTTCACTTTTGTTTGGATGATTACACTCAAACTTTCTCCATCGTTTCTTGGCAGGAAATGATCTCAGTTACTTTACATGTTCAGAATTCTAATGTCAAGTTCACCATTACTGTAAATAGAAATTAGAATGTACCGTGAAAAATATTTGACATCTGAATACCGTACTACTGTAAGATAATTACCTATGACCAAATGAAATTGAAATAAAATGAGAGGTCAACTGAGCTCAGGTCAAGATCATCGGATCAAAGGTCAAGGTAACATTTTTAAAAAAAATTACTAGTAAATATTTTTTCAGCATCATTGACTGAGATCAGATGAGAAGTTGATCAACCATGAGTCAAAGTTCGTCAGGTCAAACGTCAAGGTTATATTTGAAAAATTTCACAGACATATTTTTGAGTCTGTCAAGGTCAGATTTGAACTAATAAATATTGTTATTATAATTTTTATTTAAATCAAATGAGAAGTCAAGCAACTACATTTCATGGTCACCAGGTCCAAGATAAGGGTCAAATTATATATATGTTTTTTTTTATCAAACAAACAACTGTGCTTGGCGATAAGTGAAAATAGAATAACTTTAAGCTAAAATTCTCCATGAATATAGAAAAGGATTTTCTTTTCTCTCATTTAGTAAATTAATTTTGTTTCAACTTTCAGTCGTAATTCAGCTGAGCTTCAGGCAGCTGATACTTTGTCTATCATACTGTTGGTTCAGCAGATGTTTCCTAATGATGAGAAGCTAGAGGACTTCTTTGCTTACTCCTGTCGTAAACCTGATCCAGTAAAACCAATGGAAGAGATCAAAAGTCCAGCTTCAGTCTGTACCTACCCTTCCCACACAGATCGGTACGAGAGTGCTCTGGAGGGGGAAGATGAGGATTTTATTGATGATGCTGATGACCAGGTAAGCCAGATAAAACCAAGGGATTTCAGCATGTATTAGTGATGCCTGCTGTATACCCTATACATTCCAATAGTTTCATGAGATAAAAAATGGCCCAAAATGTTTAATTTTCCAGATGAATTAACTTTTAGTTTGTAATTTAATTATGTTCCATTCCTGAATGTAGGCAACCCATGCAGGTTTACAGAAGTATGAATTAAAAGTCTACTGGTTTTGTTATTGTATTGTAGAAATTGTTCCGCATTTGTCATTACTTCATTACATTGGCTTCCTAGAGTGCAATGTACACAAGCAGATGTCACTAATTCCTAAAAAATGTATTTTCATAAATTTTCTATTGTTATGATAGAAAGTAACAAAAATTCAAATAACTCCTATAACACAGTAATATACAGTATGTTATATGGAGATTTATTCACTATTTGTCTCTGTGTAAATCACTCCTCTCTTCACATTTTCCCTTGGTTTCATCTCATTTCACTTCCTGTTGACATGTTAGTATTTTCTTTGTTGTTGTTTTTTATTCATATAATGCAGGATATAAGTTATTTTAAGTGTTAAGTTGATGGTTTACATTTAACTGATAAAGTTTTCTAACACAGAAATAAACTTTAACTTTTAATTATTTCTTGGTTTCAGTATCAGAGTGCCAGAGATACTCCTCCAGTAGGTAAAAAGAGGGAATCCTTCTCTACAGCCACAGGTAAGTACACATTATTCTGTTTCAATGCAGACAGTTCAAGGACAGACAACTCTTGGTTAATTTCTGCAGCAACAGGTAGTACACACTGTTTAATGCAGACATACCAAGGACTTACAACTCCAGCATCATTCATTACTAAGCCATGTTAGATATTGTAAGCTAAGCTGAATTTGATTTTAAAATATTTTCTACAATTGTGTTTAAATTTGATTTAGCATTTTGATTATAGATAAGTGTGAGTCTGACCATCAAAAAAGAAATAAATACTTGATAAAGAGGTCATCAATTGATAATATGTCCACTACCTGTTATTGTTTACAATCAGTTCATGGTATGAAAATGATACTTAGGTGTTATAGGCAGACTTTTAGATGATAGAAATAATTCTTAATTAGTCCTCCACTGGGAACTTGGGGAGGCGAGAGACTATAACTTTGCATGGTGTCCATCCATCGGTCCATTCATCTGTAATCTCTGATCCACTATCTTGTGTGGGCTTTATCTCCTAAACTACTTGTCACTGGAAATTCAAACTTGGGTTACTGGTTCACCTTGCGATGTGTCATATCAAAACTGAGTCACTCTGATCTAGACAAAGGAAAAGTTTGTCTGCACTCTACCTCCTACACTACTAGTTACTGGAAATTTAGGTATTATTGTTTACCTGGATGAGACAGTGTGTTGTGTATCAACAGTAGGTCACTAAGACCTACATTTTGACCTTTGACCTACATCAAAGTAATTTTTTTCTGCGTTTTCTTTCCAAAACTCCTAGTCAGTGGAACTTATACTTAGATTATGGGTTCACCTTGGTGAAGTAAGATGTCTGACCTACTTTTGACCTTTGACTTGCATCAAAGAAGTAGTTTTTCTGAGCTCTAACTCCTACCCTACCTTTCACTGGATTTACCTGGTGAGGTGGTGTGTCAGTGGGGACCATAATTCACCAAATTATCTTGTTATCTGCATATTTAAAAATTTAAAACTTCTATATACATACCACAGGAAGTCCCTACCCACAAGTCTCTGAGATGGGAGAGGAGTTCCCTACAACATCTACTGACACTGATTTTAAGGTAAAAACCTGGATGACCTGAATTCACATTACTTTCTGCTACAAAAGCTACCAGCATCATGTATATGTGGTCCTTACTAAGGGACCTTCTCTTGCATACAAATGTTCAGCCTCATGTGTATAAGTCAGATGTGTGGTCCTGACTGAAGGACCTACTACATAGATGCCCCATGTCATAAGTCAGGTGTTTGGTCCTGACTGAAGGACCTACTACACAGATGTTCTATGTCATGGGCTAGATGTTTGGTCCTGACTGAAGGACCTACTGCACAGATGTCGCATGTCATGGGCCAGATGTGTGGTCCTGACTGAAGGACCTACTACATAGATGCCCCATGTCATAAGTCAGATGTTTGGTCCTGACTGATGGACCTACTACACATATGTCCTATGTCATGGGCCAGATGTGTGGTCCTGACTGAAGGACCTACTGCACAGATATCGCATGTCATGGGCCAGATGTGTGGTCCTGACTGAAGGGCCTACTACATAGATGCCCCATGTCATAAGTCAGATGTTTGGTCCTGACTGAAGGACCTACTGCACAGATGTCCTATGTCATGAGTCAGATGTGTAGTCAAGACTGAAGGACCTACTGCACAGATGTCCTATGTCATGAGTCAGATGTGTGGTCCTGACTGAAGGACCTACTGCACAGATGTCCCATGTCATGAGTCAGATGTTTGGTCCTGACTGAAGGACCTACTACACAGACGTCCTATGTCATGAGTCAGATGTGTAGTCCAGACTGAAGGACCTACTGCACAGATGTCCTATGTTGTGAGTCAGATGTTTGGTCCTGACCGAAGGATCTGGTACACAGATGTCCCATGTCATGAGTTAGATGTGTTGTCCTGACTGAAGGACCTACTGCACAGATGTCCCATGTCATGAGTCAGATGTGTGGTCCTGACTGAAGGATCTGGTACACAGATGTCCCATGTCATAAGTCAGATGTGTAGTCCTGACTGAAGGACCTACTGCACAGATGTCCTATGTCATGAGTCAGATGTGTGGTCCTGACTGAAGGACCTACTGCACAGATGTCGCATGTCATGGGCCAGATGTGTGGTCCTGACTGAAGGACCTACTACATAGATGCCCCATGTCATAAGTCAGATGTTTGGTCCTGACTGATGGACCTACTACACATATGTCCTATGTCATGGGCCAGATGTGTGGTCCTGACTGAAGGACCTACTGCACAGATGTCACATGTCATGGGCCAGATGTGTGGTCCTGACTGAAGGACCTACTACATAGATGCCCCATGTCATAAGTCAGATGTTTGGTCCTGACTGATGGACCTACTACACATATGTCCTATGTCATGGGCCAGATGTTTGGTCCTGACTGAAGGACCTACTACACAGATGTCCTATGTAATGGGCCAGATGTGTGGTCCTGACTGAAGGACCTACTACACAGATGTCCTATGTCATGAGTCAGATGTGTAGTCCAGACTGAGGGACCTACTGCACAGATGTCCTATGTCATGAGTCAGATGTGTGGTCCTGACCGAAGGATCTGGTACACAGATGTCCAATGTCATGAGTCAGATGTGTGGTCCTGACTGAAGGACCTACTGCACAGATGTCCCATGTCATGAGTCAGATGTGTGGTCCTGACTGAAGGACCTACTACACAGATGTCCTATGTCATGAGTCAGATGTGTAGTCAAGACTGAAGGACCTACTGCACAGATGTCCTATGACATGAGTCAGATGTGTGGTCCTGACTGAAGGACCTACTACACAGATATCGCATGTCATGGGCCAGATGTTTGGTCCTGACTGAAGGACCTACTACACAGATGTTCTATGTCATGGGCCAGATGTGTGGTCCTGACTGAAGGACCTACTGCACAGATGTCCTATGTCATGAGTCAGATGTGTGGTCCTGACCGAAGGATCTGGTACACAGATGTCCCATGTCATGAGTCAGATGTGTGGTCCTGACTGAAGGACCTACTGCACAGATGTCCCATGTCATGAGTCAGATATGTGGTCCTGACTGAAGGACCTACTACACAGATGTCCCATGTCATGAGTCAGATGTGTGGGCCTGACTGAAGGACCTACTACACAGATGTCCCATGTCATGAGTCAGATGTATGGTCCTGACTGAAGGATCTGGTACACAGATGTCCCATGTCTTGAGCTGAATATATGGACTTTCGATAAGGATATCCCATGTCAATTTACTTGTTTATGAATAAATAGTGTGTAATCATAAATAAACTGATTTGTGACTGAAGACAATAGATTTGATATTCTATATCAGACAAAACCTCTTAGTATGAAAACATATATATACATTAACATAAACTAGTGTAACAAAATTATCTTATAAATTCGAAGTTTTTGTGAAACCTCTGAAATATTCTTTTTAGTTGAGCAGAAAATAATTGAAAGGAACAGTAAAAAAAATACCATCTAGAAACCTGATCAGACCTGGAAATGTATCTTAAAGAATATTGTTATATCGTATTACTTAAGATTAACAAACTTACATTATTCTTTTTGTTCAATATTGCAGTAGTTATAAGGATTCTCCTACGATATTGTTTTTAAACCATCAGTGTACCAGTATATAATGTAATATTTCTGGGACATATTGTTAAATTTTTTCCCTTAGTGTTGGCCAAAGGGAGAACACAGACTTAATGTTCCCCCATTGCGGGGTCGAAGTCGCACTAGTGAAGATGTGCACACTGGCATGTCATCGTGGAGAAGTTTCTTTGGTGCAGGGCGGGCAAGGAGTGCAAATATGATGGAACACTCTTCTTCAATGTCAAAATCAGGTATGTCAACCTAATGACATCTCAATCTTGTATGTATACTGATGTAAAAACAGCTGATGATGAAAGAATTTTGATGATCATTTTCTGGAGTTAAATTTTCTTACCTATAAAATATGACTTGCTGTCTGTTGAAACAGGGGACGGATCTAAGTCAGAGAGCATGAAATCCCTGGAGGATGACACACCACCCTCTATATTAACAGCCCCACAAAGAACAGAAAATGAAAGTTATGTTAGACAGATTGTGTTCCTGTGTACAGAGACCTGTTCCTTCTCACCACATCAACTTCACTGTCTACAAATCTACCCAGGCATGGTGTTAGTCCTCGTCAGTCAGGTAGGTCTCCCTCACAAATCTACCAAGGCATGGTGTTAGTCCTTGTCAGTCAGGTAGGTCTCCTCTCACAGATCTACCCAGACATGGTGTAAGTCCTCGTCAGTCAGGTAGGTCTCCCCTCACAAATCTACATGGTGTTCGTCCTTGTCAGTCAGGTAGGTCTCCTCTCACAGATCTACCTAGACATGGTGTAAGTCCTCGTCAGTCCGGTAATTATATGTATTCCTTCAATAATATATCAATAGTGAAGAATTAATTGAGCTCCAGAGTGCTTCACTGTCGTATCCACCAAAGCTTTCTTTTGTTCCCAAGCTCTTTGTGGTATTTGAATACCATTTTTTTTTACTCCTGCTCTGGTACAGAGGTACTGGGCTAGCTATAAAAATAATGTACTATGTCAGGATAAGTTGGTTGCATGATGATGTCTAGTTTATAGGAGAAATATGGAGTAGTTGACCATGTATCACTACTGATTTTGTTATTGATATATAGGTACCTTGGGGTGGACATGCCGACAAACTCAGCCAATTACTGTTGCTTCTGAAAGATTTGTTGTCAGGACGAAGAACGAGGGTGCACAGAACGCAAGGACAGGAATTGTTTGACATGATCACTTCCCTCCTCAACAAACTCCTACCCACAATGAAAAAGATTAAGGTATGGCTATAAATTTTACTTGTTAAGGGCAACACTGATCAATGCTGTATAGCTAGCTGACCATTGTGACGTCTTTTAGATCTGTATCTACCTGTTAGGGCAACATGTTCAGAATTTATCAAAGGTTCTCTGTACATAATTACACTTACCTGTGAGGTTTTGCCATGATTGTGTGTCAGTTGTTACCATACAACTTCTATATAGGAACAATGAATTTTTTCATACATTCGAGGTCGTAGGTCATATCCACTGAAAACTTCAAAACTTTGCAAAATTGAAACTTCTGCAAATTATAGAATTAAAATGTGTTGAGTTGATTGCTGTAAAAACTGGCTTTTACTTACAGTAGTAAGCAACAGATCAGATGTTATAAATCTTGAAATAACTTTGAACTTTGAACTTATTTGTTGTGGACCTTTGTACACTGTATATATTTTTTCAATTTCAGGGTAATATTGCTGTGATTTTCAACAAAATACGAGCAGGTTGGGACAAACCAGAGTTTAAGAATTTGCTGTTGGAATACCTGGAAAACACCACCTATACAGAGATCCCACCAAGGTGAGCACAATTTTTCAATTCGTTTACCACATTAGATCTTTATAACTTTTTAAAACCTTTTTAGAGGAAGGATGGGGGTTGTTTCTATATCTGATGGTAAAGGAGGGATGGGGGCTGTTTCTGTATGTGATGGTTCAGGAGAGATGGGAATATTTCTGTATGTGATAGTACAGGAGAGATGGGAATGTTTCTGTATATGATGTTACAGGAGGGATGGGGGCTGTTTCTGTATATGATGTTACAGGAGGGATGGGAATGTTTCTGTATGTGATGGTACAGGAGAGATGGGAATGTTTCTGTATATGATGGTAAAGGAGGGATGGGGCTGTTCCTGTATATGATGTTACAGGAGGGATGGGGCTGTCTCTGTATATGATGTTACAGGAGGAATGGGGGCTGTTTCTGTATATGATGTTACAGGAGGAATGGGGGCTGTTTCTGTATATGATGTTACAGGAGGAATGGGGGCTGTTTCTGTATATGATGTTACAGGAGGGATGGGGCTGTTTCTGTATATGATGTTACAGGAGGAATGGGGGCTGTTTCTGTATATGATGTTACAGGAGGGATGGGACTGTTTCTGTATATGATGTTACAGGAGGGATGGGACTGTTTCTGTATATGATGTTACAGGAGGAATGGGACTGTTTCTGTATATGATGTTACAGGAGGGATGGGACTGTTTCTGTATATGATGTTACAGGAGGAATGGGGGCTGTTTCTGTATATGATGTTACAGGAGGGATGGGGGCTGTCTCTGTATATGATGTTACAGGAGGGATGGGGCTGTCTCTGTATATGATGTTACAGGAGGGATGGGGGCTGTCTCTGTATATGATGTTACAGGAGGGATGGGGGCTGTTTCAGTATATGTTACAGGAGGAATGGGGGCTGTTTCTGTATTTGATGTTACAGGAGGTGGGGCTGGGGCTGTTTCTGTTTATGATGTTACAGGAGGGATGGGGGCTGTTTCTGTATATGATGTTACAGGAGGGATGGGGCTGTCTCTGTATATGATGTTACAGGAGGGATGGGGGCTGTTTCTGTATATGATGTTACAGGAGGGATGGGGCTGTTTCTGTATATGATGTTACAGGAGGGATGGGGGCTGTTTCTGTATATGATGTTACAGGAGGGATGGGGGCTGTTTCTGTATATGATGTTACAGGAGGGATGGGACTGTTTCTGTATATGATGTTACAGGAGGGATGGGGCTGTTTCTGTATATGATGTTACAGGAGGGATGGGGGCTGTTTCTGTATATGATGTTACAGGAGGGATGGGGGCTGTTTCTGTATATGATGTTACAGGAGGAATGGGGGCTGTCTCTGTATATGATGTTACAGGAGGGATGGGGGCTGTTTCTGTATATGATGTTACAGGAGGGATGGGGCTGTCTCTGTATATGATGTTACAGGAGGGATGGGGCTGTCTCTGTATATGATGTTACAGGAGGAATGGGGGCTGTTTCTGTATATGATGTTACAGGAGGAATGTGTCTCTGTATATGATGTTACAGGAGGGATGGGGGCTGTCTCTGTATATGATGTTACAGGAGGGATGGGGGCTGTTTCTGTATATGATGTTACAGGAGGGATGGGGCTGTCTCTGTATATGATGTTACAGGAGGGATGGGGGCTGTTTCTGTATATGATGTTACAGGAGGGATGGGGGCTGTTCCTGTATATATGATATGATGTTACAGGAGGGATGGGGGCTGTTTCTGTATATGATGTTACAGGAGGGATGGGGCTGTCTCTGTATATGATGTTACAGGAGGAATGGGGGCTGTTTCTGTATATGATGTTACAGGAGGGATGGGGCTGTCTCTGTATATGATGTTACAGGAGGGATGGGGGCTGTTTCTGTATATGATGTTACAGGAGGGATGGGGCTGTTTCTGTATATGATGTTACAGGAGGAATGGGGGCTGTTTCTGTATATGATGTTACAGGAGGGATGGGGCTGTTTCTGTATATGATGTTACAGGAGGGATGGGGGCTGTTTCTGTATATGATGTTACAGGAGGGATGGGGCTGTTTCTGTATATGATGTTACAGGAGGGATGGGGCTGTTTCTGTATATGATGTTACAGGAGGGATGGGGCTGTCTCTGTATATGATGTTACAGGAGGGATGGGGCTGTTTCTGTATATGATGTTACAGGAGGGATGGGGGCTGTTTCTGTATATGATGTTACAGGAGGGATGGGGGCTGTTTCTGTATATGATGTTACAGGAGGAATAGGGAAGGGGGCTGTTTCTGTATATGATGTTACAGGAGGGATGGGGGCTGTTTCTGTATATGATGTTACAGGAGGAATGGGGGCTGTTTCTGTATATGATGTTACAGGAGGGATGGGGCTGTTTCTGTATATGATGTTACAGGAGGGATGGGGCTGTTTCTGTATATGATGTTACAGGAGGAATGGGGGCTGTTTCTGTATATGATGTTACAGGAGGGATGGGGCTGTTTCTGTATATGATGTTACAGGAGGAATGGGACTGTTTCTGTATATGATGTTACAGGAGGAATGGGGGCTGTTTCTGTATATGATGTTACAGGAGGGATGGGGGCTGTTTCTGTATATGATGTTACAGGAGGGATGGGGGCTGTCTCTGTATATGATGTTACAGGAGGGATGTGTTCTGTATATGATGTTACAGGAGGGATGGGGGCTGTTTCTGTATATGATGTTACAGGAGGAATGGGACTGTTTCTGTATATGATGTTACAGGAGGAATGGGACTGTTTCTGTATATGATGTTACAGGAGGGATGGGGGCTGTTTCTGTATATGATGTTACAGGAGGGATGGGGGCTGTTTCTGTATATGATGTTACAGGAGGGATGGGGTTGTTTCTATATCTCTTCCCTGTAATTCTATGTTCACCTATCTTTTATTTGTTTGTGATCACCATGTACTTTTAATCAATATTTCAGTGTAGAGCGTTCCTTGAACTTGCTGCTGAAGTGGGTAAAGGAGCTCTTCCTCTACATGTATCTCCTCCCTCGAGACGTTTCATCGTCAATCTTAGAAGCAGTTAAAGTCATACACGAGAAAGCTAAGGTCAAACTTCGTGACTACAAAGAATATCTTGCTGTCAAGGCCCAGCGCAACATTACTATGACAACATATCCTTAACTGCTTTTGCTGTCATGTTTTACATCCATATCTTAAATAATACTAATCACGACATCATGAAGAATTTTTGACATCACAATTGTGTCCGGTGCAAATGGTAATTTATCTGTCTGGAAGAGAATCAAATTGACAGTTTTTGTTTATTTTTGTATAGACCTGAGCTCAATGTAATCTTGCATGTGTTGGTCTTACAAATTGATTGTTAAACTTGTAGCCTTATTTGAAAGTTTGAATAGACTTATTGATATGATATGGATACCACTTTTTGATGACTGCTATTACAGTATATATTGTAATGGTAGTGGTAAGTATGGTTTGGGCTTAACTATCACAGTAATTATGTAAATGAAACTCACCAGTAACGTACCTTAATGTTGTTACGAAGATGACCTTAACAGGCTTACATACCTGGACATGTTCCCAGGACTTGTACACTTTATTTACATAGACAGGAAGACAAACCAAGTAATGGCACCCTCCCTCAATATCACCACTGGTGAGGACGGCACAGTCTCGGATGCCACTCAACTCCTCAAGGACAAGGTACCTTATATGTTACTATTCATCCCTCTTTTATGTACCTATTCATAGTCAGCATTCTTCAAAATATGAAATAAAAGAGATATCCTGAGAGTGCTCTTTCAACTCATGCAAAAGAATTCAGTTTAAATAACTGAAAGATTTTGTTTCAGATTTGGAAAATGATTGAATGGGTCCAGCTCAAGCTGAAGAATGGCATTACCATGGTGACAACAAGAGATGGCGACTACCATTTTTCCTATTTCCTGTGGTTTGAAGATTGCAATGTAAGGCATTTCACTGTTCATGCTTTAGAACACTCACAAACTCGTTATATATCAAAATATATAATCCATGACATTTGGTTTTAAAACTCATACATGATCATTTCATAATACAATGTACATGTAGATGGGTGTGATAATTAAAAAATTGTCATTACTGGTTTCAGGGCACCCAAATGCCAGTTCAGTGCCAGTACCAAGCCACTTTGGCCCAGTCTCCCCCAGGGATCCTGTCGGGAAATTTCTATCGCAACTTGACGCGAGAGTCCTTCCCAAATGTGGTACCAGGTTCTGTCAACTGTTATGAACTGATGATGATGCACGTCGGCCTCGTACATACCCAGTACATAGTAAACCATTGTCAGAAACTTACACGTATGATGTGGGAAATATCTGGAGACCCATACTCTCCCATGAGTCTTGTGTGGTGAATGAATGATAAATTTGGCGGACAACTGTCAAGATCAAGTATCATGTGCCAGAGAGATATTTCAGAGACCCATTTCCTCTCAAAGCCTGATGTGATGTATGGATGACCAGTTAAGTGAATACTGTGATTTTTTGCACATCAGTTTAATGCAGTATCTAATCAGTGGATCTATGATACTCTTAAGACTAAAGTAAAAATGTTTAGATATAACAGTGTTGAATTCAAACATTGAAAATTTTTACATATTTGATTAGTGCAATAGCAACATGTTTCTGTGGTTAAATTTCATCACTATGTTGATTTTATTCCAAAAAGTCTTCGCCATATATTTGTGTTTCAATCTTGTTCTCAGTAATGAAGAAATGTTTCACATAAGATGTTATTTCCAGTCAGCTTTAAAATGTAAGGATTCCATTAAAGTTCTACTTTCCAGACATATCAGCAATTGTTTATCACAGACTTACATGAATTTGCTTTTCTATCCTTTTAAGATGTTAATTGTGGCTAAATAGACATTTCATGGATTAACAGGGTGTATTTGTAGAAAATTTTACAACAATTTGGCAGAGTAAAACACGATATAAATTTATGTAAATTAGGGTATTCCAGTTGACCCTTGTATGTTTTAGACTCTGATAATAAGTTTTGACTCCTGTGTTTTAAGGAATATGCCTACTTCACAATGTTTTGACTCTTCAGAGTTGTAATTGAACTTTAAATATTACAAAATGTAAACTGTAAACTGTAAACTGAATTGTAAACAGTGAAATATGAGATTTCCTCAAAGTTGTTATACAGTGTATAAGATACACAAAAAAAGATACTCCACAGTTAAGTTTTCCACTGGTTACATCATACAAGGTAGATATACAAGTCTACGCTGTCTTGATATCAGAATGTTTCTTCAAGGCATAGTGTTAATTGACCTTTTTACAATGTTATATAATAAAATATATTTTTAAAGTATTTTGTGTTCTTTCTAATGTTGACAATGTGTGTGATCTGGCGACTGTCAGAAATAAAGTAAGACAATATGTAAAAGTAATTTTTCATTTATTCCTCACTGTTATGTTCAGGTCAGCATACACAGGTTATAGGCTAACAAAACAAGTCCATTCAAAGTCGCATGTCACAAATGGCGTCTCATCACAATGCAATGGGGCAATTGGCTTCCCTCAGTAATATCATAACACAAAACAAAATGGAGGACAATAAAATAAAGGAAGGTACAGCAGCTTAATTAGGGCTGGCCAAGACAGCAAGTCTGGCCACCCTCATACACGGAGAACTCGTCCCCAGGGGTAGGTAAGACAAGTTATCAAAAGACAGTCATATTCTCCAATAGCGGAGACAATACCATACATCACTATGGCCCAAGTCATACATTGTGCAAGGCATTCCGTAAAAGTTAAAGATACAATTTATGTTTGATCATAATTGAAATGTAACATGTATGTAAATATCAAATGTGAAATGTCTTAAGGGGGGGAAAAATCATGCAATCATTTTAAATATTTTAAAGACATTGTTTAAAATGTTGCAGTTGTACAATTAATTGAACATTACACTACCTTATTGGTCTGTATTGCTACCTAATCACTGCTACAAATCTTATCCTGCATTACACTTGAGCTAATGTGAAAAATGTTACTTTAAAACTTAAGTGTAAACATTCAACTTATAGCAACTAATATAGTGTATGCAATATCACACAAATATTCCTTCTATTGCTGTACAGCACATTGACCAGATCAACAGATAACATATATATGTACAGCAAAGATATTAATGTTTGTTTTGCATAGAAATGCTGGACTTATAACCACATTATAAAAAGCACTCAACAAAGACCTCATAATAAATACTACTTATCAGCAACAAAAACTGAAAGATACCATGCATTGAAAGCAAATTTTGTACATCACAGCAGCTCTACCATTTTATGGCAGTGGTTCTACTCCATATACATTTTAAAATTACTTGTGTGCACATAGTGAAATGTACTGTGGGTGTCTAAAATGTGCACATAGTTGACCAAGCTTTCAATCTCGTTTAAAATGGGATTTGTCTATTTCGTAAAATATTTGGTAATTAAAATTTACCTTCATTTTGAGAGTTCTAAATAAAATTAAGACCTCAGATTAAATCTTACTTTGGAAAACAGTTGACAACAGAAAAAAAAATGAAATGCAAACATTTTCTTACCAAAGCAAAAAAATTATTCAGGATAAAATTGATGTTTTGAGCTTAGTTTCCTTCTTACTGATACATCTATTTGTATGAAGTCCAAAAGAATATTGACAGTCTAGTAATACTCTGAAAGTAGTGGTGAACAACAGTCTAGCGATATCTCATCAACATTTACTACATTAAAACTTCATGTAAAGATCAAGGAAGGAAATAATCGGCAAAAGGGTTTGTAGACCACATTTGCTGACCACACTTGCACATCCCTGTTCTAGGAAGCTCAAATAGAGTCTGATATTGGCAATTGGCTTGGTATATTAACCATAAGAACCCAGTACTATAATTCTCTTTTTCTTTTAAAGCAGTAGTGTTTCATATAGAAGTAAAATTCACGTAAATGGTGGACTGGAAATGTCTATTTAATTGTAAAAGAATTCTTATATTTTATTCAGGTGTGAAATGTCTTATAACTTATAATTGTGGCCTTCTTTATCTCAAGATGTCTGTCTATTTGGTAACAACTGCTGTTGGTCACATGGCAAGCCTTCATTCAACACACTCCAAGCTGACTAGCTGTTGGGAAATTACTGGTCAAAAGTCATATCAGCATCTGTAGTTAAGCAATTGACAGCCACTTCTCATTAGGTACATCCCAGACCAGATTTCTTCTTCACAAAGATGTCTTTTAGATTCATGTTAACTTGTAGTTTTTCTCTTTTGACAGGGGTCGAGCCAAGACAGAATCTGAAAGTTTCAATTTTTAAAAAAAAAAACTGTGACATCAATTTTTATAGCCAGGCATAAATAACAATTTTTTTTGTACTTTTCATTAGTGAAGACTGATTCACCTATCTCCATATTATATTTTCAGTGTTTATGTCCTGTCAACATTTAACATACAGCAAACAAATAAGATTTTGCATTGCCCTCCACAAAAGAAATTCATTAAGGTACAACTCCAGTCAAAGCAGCACAGGTCATCAAAACATTTAAGCCAGTTTGTATAATTTGAAATTAATGTCAATTACAAAAATTAAGAAATTTTTGGGGTTACCAACCTCCCCAACCAAAGAAAAGGGTAATTCAAACCTATATTCTTGTCAGAGTTTGGATTTTAATTATGTAAGATCTACCTTTTAAATTCCTCAACTTCTTTTTCATTCTCGTCCATATCGCCACCTTCCAGATCTGATTCTGACTTGGGCATAAATATTTCATCTGCAATAAGTAAAATTTTAATTAAATAAAAATATATAATAGGTCACAATCTATAAAGTTTGCTAAATCTGCATGAAATGGAAAATGTAGGTCACTGAAATCTAGTTTCAGTGAAGTATCTTGAGGTTGAAAAAAAGTATTGGAAAGCTTCAAACGATATGAATAATGAACAAACTGAAAAAGTCTGCATGACAGTTGTATATAACATGAAGTAGATAAAGGGAGGACATCAAAATAATTCCATTTAATAGTAACAATGACCTTCACCAGGTCAGGATGCGAACATGTGGAATGAAGTTTCATGATTATGAGATAATAAATAAATTTGGTAAACATATACAGGCAGATCCCAATATGCCCCCTGCTACACATTTGCCACTGATTTGTTCATGCATACAAAACAAACATGGTTTTACATATATTGTTAATTAAATTTTTCTATAAATATGTCTATATTATTTTGATTATGTAATTGCCCTTACCAATCATACTGAGATCTTCACTTCCGCGGTTCTTTTTCTTGTTCCTCTTATTCTTTCCACTACTGTTCTTGTTCTGCAAGAAGAAAAACATTTGAATCATAAGTGAAAAGTTTTAAATTTTATTTAAAATTTTATTTCAAATGAATATAAATGATTCTATTACCAGGTAATCAAAACAATATATTCAAGAAGTGCAAATACAGTGCATGGAATGCAAACAAATTATTTTGAAAGGTCTCCAAATGTTTTTCACATTTACTTCCATAATCATTCATGGAAATAAACATGTTTTGCTTCATGACCATTTTTTTCCCCTTTGTTTTATCATCAGATCTGTCAAATCAGAGGCTAAAAGGAACTGTTTATCTCCAAGTGTCATAAGAATTTTTACCTGTTCACTGTTTGGGGACGTATCTTCGGTCTCTTCTAATCTGTCCACTGGGGATGCAGGCTTGCCGTGCTTTCTGTCGTTGCTTGTAGATTGTTTACCCATCATACTGTTTGGGTAGGACTGATGGTTCAGAGAATTGTCTCTCTTGTTTGGTGGATTGATAATAACCCCATTGTGTAGGTGACCTTTTGGAGGGGTCATGGCTTGTTGCTGAGCTGTAGCCTTCCGCTGCTGATCCTGGGGAAGACCATGTTTCATACCAGACTGTTTGGTGGTCGTCTGTTGGGAGTTTGCATGATTCTGACCCTTGACTGGTTGTACCGACTGTTTGGTGGTTGGTTGTTGAGAATGAGACTGATTTTGACTTGCGACTGGTTGTGCTGACTGTTTCGTGGTCAACTGTTGTGAGTGAGATCTATTTTGCATGTTGACTGGTTGTCCTGACTGTTTAGTTATCACTTGATTGGAATTTGAATGGTGTTGACTGTTGGAGTGTTGCCCAGATGGACCTGAAGAGTGAAGTGATCCTGTTTGCTTCTTGCCCTTTCTGTTGGTACCATTCTGCTGTAGATCTTCAAATTTGATCTGTACACATGTACCATTATGGAGCTGACTGTCGTGAATGTTCTTGCTATTTTCCTTGCCCTGTGTTGTGCGACCACTAGCTAAGGGATTTGTAGTAGTGATGGTTCCATTAGGTTGTTGTTTGGAAGTTTGAGGGATTTGAGGTACTGAAGTTTTACTTGAAACAGATTTAGAAACACTAGAAGATGCCTTGGAAGTCTGAGAATTATGACTGGAAATTTTCACAGACTTTTTGTCTGCCTTAGGTTCCTGCTGGGCATGTACAGTTTGAACCATTGCTGGCTGTTGTTTGTCACTAATTCTTGGAGATTTTGTTCTTCCTTTGATAGGTTTTGTTCCTGCTGAACTCTCCTCTGAGATTTTCCCATTTGACTGACTACTGGGGCTCTGTTCCCCTGACTCGCGACCTTTGGACTTAGAATCACTTTGCCTAGCACTTGATTGCCTTTCATCTTCCCGACCAGCTGGAGGTATTCGTATAAGGTTCAAATTTATATTACCATCTTCACTGCAAGCTGAGTTTTTATCCTCTGGAACCACTTTCTGTTTTTTCTTTTTCTTCTTTTGAGATTTCTCCAGTTCGAGCCTAGCAGCATTAAGTTTATTTTTCTTGAGTCTTTCTTGTTCCTCCTGAAAAAGTCTCTGTTGTTCTTGGTGTTTCTTTTCTGCTTCTATTCGAGCTTTCTCCTCAATCTGAAACAATTTTAAAGAAAATATATACTTTCATATATCAATATATATTAGTGTATTGTAATCATATTAAGGTCATATCTTTTGGTACCATTAACTTTAAGTTGCTGATCTCAGGTGTGAAATAATACACATGTGCCACAATATCCTCGATTTTTCAGGGGTTTATGATCATTTTCGCTCTCTGTACCCCTACACCATTTCATGGCAAAGTTGAAGGGATACAACAGGATGTGCCACTCTTCCTCCAATAAACGGACATTGGCATCTTTTTCCACTTTTCACTAGATCTGTCAAAGTGACGTGAATGTTACAGCCAGCAACCAATAAGAAGTTTTCAGTGTTGTTGACTTTGTTAAGAGGTGTACTCATGACTCATGAAATAAAATACTGGGTCCTGCAGAATTTATTTTCCAATTCACAAGGCTCTCCAATAATTGTTGTACCACTTCAGTGAAAATTCTAATAAAATATTTCAAAGTTACCATAACAAGTCTGCCATAACAAATATTAACAAGACTATCACTAAATCAGAACTTGACTTGCATTTTATCATACTAATATAAAACTAAATGACAGTTCTGTGTCTATCCATTTAAGAATACATGGCCAGATATGAACTAATGACAAAGTAACAACAAAAACCCCATCCTCAAAACATGAAATGGCAGCTCCATAAAAATAATAATGCTTTTGTTCATATATGTATTACACCATAGCAAACTTTTACTGTAGAAACTTGAGTAACTATATCATTAAGTTTAAACAACTGAACACAAATTTCCATTTAATCAGTCAATCTCATAATTTTACAATAATTCAGTTAAATGTCATGTTAAGTTGCAACATCTCAGGTTTGTATTTTTGTTTTAATATTATTTTTCATGTGTCTGTAACAGTAGTTATAAATCAACCCCTATTTTCACCACCTACTAAAAACAAGAATTGGACTGTCATGCAGCCAGTGCAAATTTATCTAAAAAGACAGGAGTGCAAGAACATGGCAGGAAAAAGGTGTTTATTGATGTTTTACCTTTCGCTGTTTCTGTCGAGCTCTCTTGGCAGCTTTAGCAGTCACTGACTTGTCAGCACCAAGTTTCTGGTCTTCTGTGCCATTGATGAACCGTATCAACTCATCAAGGCCCTTCAACTCCATTGGATCTTTGGAGTCATCTTCATGATTAGTTACAAAACTGGTGCAAGCATCTGGTTCTAACTTTGGAATTTCTCGTTTGTTAGCACAGGTATCTTTGTGACATTCTTGCTTAGCTTCATTCTGTGAATGCAAGAAATTAAGGTCAGTTCAGGAGCAGTATGTCTGTTGGTTAATAACTCTATCAGCAGCCATTTTACGTCAAAATTTTCTTTGTAAACAAACATCATTATGAGATCAGTGTCACGTGCTACAATAAAATCAATTGGTCAACAATAGCCTTACATGTTAAGTATTATCAGTCTATTTTCAATTTAACATAACTGCTTATGCCTACATGGTAATAATTCCTGGGTTTATTTCAATTATAGTTGGGATGGGTCATTTGGATTTGGTTAAGGAATTATGTTACAATCATTCAATTTTGTATCACCATAATTTAAATCACTGCAGTTTTACTAAGATTAATACAGATTGTTATACAACTTTGACTGATGTGGTCCTGTAAGATATATAAATGATATGTATTCTGATTGAAGTTTGTACCTTTTTCTTCAGGCGTAACCGTAACCGATCCCTCATTTCTGCATAATTCTTGCTGGTTGGAGCAACAGGAGGCTGTACACAGAAAAAAAGATATTTTCAATAACATAGAATCACTGCTGCATTTGTCAGTGGCTTTTATTCATTCCTCTTAACAAAATAACAAAGTTTTAAAATAAAATAAAGAATTCTAAAAAAGTGGATGTGTCTTTCTTCTACCTGTTATGACAGTGACCTTTGGCCTTCTGATCTTAACAGTAATAAGATGGCAATATTAGTAAGGACACACTGGATGGGGTTTGAGTTTTATAACTTCATAGCAATTTAGGTTACTGCAAAACAAATACTTTATATCTATAGTAACAATGGATTTGACCTTTGACCTTAAATCATTCCCAAGTAAGGCCTAACCATATAAGGAAACAACACATGACGGACAAAGGAATGATGAATTGAAAGAACATAACTTTCTCCTTCAAACAAAAAAAACAAGAAAAAAATTATTTTGAAAAGGAGTGACAATGATTATTTTCTAAGGTCATTTATCACTTACATTGCCATGCCCGAAGAACTCACAATAGCAGCAGTCACAGTATTTGCCTTCCTTTTGGTTCGAACTTGAGGTGGTAGAACTCTGCTCAGAACAGCTATCACTAACACTATCACAGGCATCATCAAAATGGACATCACAGTCAGGCTCTATACACACAGTGGATGTGCCAACACTCACATTGTTCACAGCGGTGGGCATCGAAATTGAGTTCTGACACGCCGTCACATGGTTATGGTCCATGGTACAATTGGCTGCATGTGTATGCCCACCAATGTTATTACGAGAGGATGTGTGATTACATGTGTGAGTAATCGGAGTATTCACATTTGCATTCAAACTACTGGCAAATTGGCGAATCATCTGCATGCCTTCTTTGGCACCTTCTCGAATGTTTCTTGCCGCCGTCTGTATAAAATCCTGAGAAACCTTGTTAGTCGAGGAAGTGGTAGTAGCGCTTGTGTGGTTGTGAGACTGGGAGCTGGTAAGAGCCTTGCCAAGGAGATTGTGCCTCTTACAGTGCTGGGGGTGAGGTTTATCTTGTACAGGCCCTGGTGGGCGGGGCTGTATTTGAGGCTGTGACATGGGTATCGATGAAGGAGGAGGTTGTAAGACAGACTGGTTATTGTTACCTCCTAAAGTTGCTGGTCGAGTACAAGGAGGAGACATGGTTTTGCTTGTCATTGTTGGTACAACTGGAGAACTATTGAAGTCCTTGGATGTAGACATTTGTATCTTACTATCCAAAAACACCTGTGCCGGAGCTGGGGCATGACTATTGCTCATGGACGTTTTGAAAGCACTTGTACTGGGTGTGGATGTGGATACTGTATCAACGCCCATTAGGGTGGCCATGGTGTAAGGCTCAGAGAGGAAACTGGTAGTAAAATTACTGGTTAGGGGTGGAGGAGGCAATAACTCACTACCAAGCTCATATTTGGGAAGCAAACCCCTCGTATCGTATGTATTGTCCCATTCACCATACGCATGATAAATATGTTCATGAATTCCATCGGGTGAATCAAAGTCCAGTTTGAGTGGAACTTTGGGTTGAATGATGGGTTTAGGCTGCCTCATGGGTAGATGGAGGTCATATAACTGAGGCTGCAACACTGGTCGTATGTGGGATCTGTTTGATAGCCCATGAGGCAGCCCTGTTGAACCATGTATGTGAGGATATAAGTGGAATTCTCCTGGTCTTGTTGGCACACTAGGCATTTGCGTTGGCAAAGAAGTTGATACAGTTTTACCTCTTTGCCGCAAACAAACATAGCACTGACAGAGGCTCTCTTCTGATTTTACCTATGGACAAACAGGAAAATATTAAGTTCACTGAGTTAAAGCATAACAAAGCGGACTGATAAAAACATTGTAATTGGATACTTTAGGTTTAACATGGTTGGACTACCCTATCAAGGTCTGCTTTATTACTGCACAGAGTGAAACTTTCACTACAGTTTAACTTTTACACTGTTCATCCCTGTATCAACACAGCAAATATAAAAGACGAGTTACAGTTTGGTTTTATAGTAAGATGAAATATGTTTCTTTCATAACTTAAAAAGATGTTTATCTTTACACAAACAATGATAGAAAACTATCTTTTGTCAGCTTTTGAAGACTTCAGTTTCTTTCATCAAGAAAAGACTGCAAATGACTAGGTATTGAAAACAGATTAATATTCTTCATGGATGAAAGAGTAAAGCAATCTGTCAAATTGTCATCACAACAATACAGTTTTCAATTGGTGTTTCCGTTAGAGATAAAATATCTTAAATCATATCTATAATATCTATACCAAACTGATGAATCGCAATCGGAATGTTTCTTTTGGATTTCGTGAGGAAATTAGACACACAAGTGGAACAACCAATTTTTGGGGAACCCAGAGCAAAATAATTCCTCATAGTATTCTACAATAAACAACTTACGATTTGTTCTGCTTGAGCCTGAGACACACAGTGGTAACAGTCACAAGTTTCAGAGCTGATCAGATCAGCTGCACCATCGTCTGAATCTGTTAACCAGGTTGGCGGTGACAGATTCACAGACTCTTGGTCCATCTTAATGTTATCGATGTCAAGGTCTTCCTCCATTTTTTCTTCTTCTTCATCTTCTTCACAATCTTCATCTTCCTCATCATCTTCACAATCATCATCATCATCGTCATCTTCATCATACTCCTCTTCTTCCCCATCATCGTCATCATCATCGTCATCAACATTTTCCTCATCAAGATCACCTGACTGACTTATGCCTTCAATCTCCTCAGGAATATCTTCTCCATTTCTGTAACGTGACAAATCACAACTGTTGACCATATATTACAACATGAGCACATGTTTATGTTAATCAGTTTCAATTACTGAATATAAGAGATGCAAATCAAGAATAACATCTGAACTATTTAAACATTGCCAGGTAATTTAAACAATTTTTTTATATGCATCTTGAACATAATGAATTAAAACTAGAACTATACATTCCAATAGATTATTTGTTTGTTGGTTAGTTTACATCATCATTAATAAAACATTCCATTAATTATCTCTGGCTAATTCAACTCTTCCTCCAAGTGGTCCAAAACATGTTATATTTCAGAGTAGTAGTACTTAGTTTAAAACATCACAACATTTGAATTGTTGTCTACTTACATGAAGTTTTCCTCCAGGTCTGGGAAGGGAACAGGTTCGACCATGACGGGACTTGAGGAGCCACTACTGGATGTAGTACTTGACATGGATGGTGGACTTACATCAATACGATATCGATTAGGGTCGTGGAGGAAATTGACATGATTTGAGTTATCAGTTGCTTCTAATGCCTCAGGATTTATAATTCCACATGTAATCATATGTGTTATTGTGCATTCATCACAAGGACACCTGCCAAAGAAATGATCACATTAGATGTTATTCTAGTTTTACCTCCTTAATCATATAAAGTGAATATATACACTCCCTCCCAAAATTTTGCATGAAAAAATTATCGCATTGATTGGTAACACTGCATAATATAATTTTCATATAAGTACACAACTTAATTCTTTCTTTCCCTCTGTCAAAAATAAATTCTATATTTCTTGGTGCAGTATTCAGAAAATCCATACAAAACAATCCTATTCATGTTACTTAAAATTCAAATTTACAAAACTTTAAATAATGTACATCTCACCGTTTCCGGTTACACCTAGAACAATGACACTCTTCTGGAGCCGGTTTAGTTCCCTGCAGCATCAGTCTCATAGTTTCTGTGAACTGGTCTTCGAAGCTTTTGGTATTACTGTAATAAAATAACAATATCTGATTATCACAGTTAACAATCATAGCAAGGAACATTTTAAATGAAACAAGAGTTCCTTGAAACTGGATGTGTCTCCTGCAAAAAGTGTCACAGTCACCCAGAAATCGCACTGGATGTGCAACGTTCAACCATAAAGTTGTAATACAAAATTTCATTTCTATAACTCGAAGCATAAAGGGAAAACTGTGCAAAGCAAAGAAAGCAGTGAATCGAACCTTATCTGTAATGTTCGAACATGAAGCCATTTCTCATATTTCATTTCAAAAACTCTAAGCATAATCAAGAAAAGTACAAAAAAAAACATAAAACTCTGCAAAGAAGGGTCACAGACAGCCAAAAATCAAAACTAATCTGTACTGCTCTGCAGGTGACACAATAACTGATATTGCGATATAAAGTATAAGGAAACTAGGATTTGCTCTTGAAGGGAAGTATAAAGACTTAAAACAAAGACTCATCTTACTGAATTCCTAGCTTACCTGTGAGATAAAGGTGTTTTTGTATTTTTTGCAACCTGTTGCTCCAGAATTTTTCTTTGTGCTTTGAAAAACTCCCAGTCTTCTTTTAGCATTTTCTGTTTTAGTTTCAGGGCAGACTGTAAGGAATTCAATGATTATATTAATTTGGATAAAGGTCTGTACCTTCCAATCCTATTGGACTCACAAACCTGTTCACATTTTATACAGCCAAATTGCTGCTTTCATAGAATATTTCTATCATAATAAGACATTTATTGGAAAGCATACTTTTTAAGTTATCTAAATCTAATTAAGTTTTATCATTACTAGAACAAAGATAAATATAACTTAAAACACTTCACTTCTTACTCTGTATGATAAATGACTAAAAGTTGGAATAGAACTTCAAAAGGAGATGAGCAAAAACTAACCTGACACAAAAATTTAACATTACCAGACCGTTTATAACAGTAAGTTCATTACAGCTTTAACTCATGTTCTTAAATTGAATTGGAAAAGCCAATATATTTATTAATAGGTATATCAAAAGTTTTAGACTTTGTTTATGCATAGACAATTTTACAGACAAATCCTGCTAAAATTTAGTGAAATACTTTGATCATGCAAGCATTTCTCAGTGAGAATTTTTTTTAGTTTTCAAACACTGTTTAAACTGACAGAGAAAAACACCTTGCCAGCATTAAGACATTGCTATAATTGTAGGCCTACCTGTTCCTCATTGTATTGTTCTATAAGCTGGTGACTGTCTCTCCACACCACAGATATCACAGACATTTCATCATCAAACTTGAGATAGCGGTGTAACAAGTTTGGGTAAGTGTCTTCATTATAAGACTCTTTGGAGGCTGCTCCAAGTCTGACAAAACAAAAATCATCACAATCATTTATTGTTGACAATTACCCAGATGTGAACAGTAAACTATACTATTTACATATCCCAGAAGCATCAAATGTTAAATCACCTGCTTTATAGATATGGCTAATGATAATCAGAAACAAAGAAAATACATTTAGTCAGATATTTATGACTAATACACAAGGAAGACACTGTCAGGAAATTCAATCAAATTTGCCAATTTGTAACAATGTATTGTTGTTTACAAACATCTCAAACAGTAAATAAAGACCAAAACACTGCATAGCTCTCCTATTGATGACACAAGCAAACATCACTTGTGAAAAAACACGCATATCTATGTTACTCTTTTCTCTCAAAATTTACAGAGAAATTTACCTCTTTTGGTAAAAAAAAGTTCTACATATTATTATAATTCAAACTGCTACCAGAGATCTGTCAGCCTGTTCTGCTTGTAAAAAACTTGAATTGCTCCAAAACTTCACAAATAGAATTTTTTCCATTTTGACCCTCATGAATATGAAAAATATGCTTTGGCATATTGATAATAATTAATTTTGATGCTTGAATAATTTATAACAAACACCTTCTGATAGCGATGATTCAGTACTGCTAAAGAAAGCTTGCTTAACAACTTCAACATTTTAAGATGGAACACTAACAACAATACCAATGGTGATGTTAAGTGGGACACTATGTCAATACTAATGTTGATGTTAGGTGGGACACTAATGTCAATACCAATGTTGATGTTAGGTGGGACACTAATGTCAATACCAATGTTGATGTTAGGTGGGACATTAATGTCAATACCAATGTTGATGTTGGGTTGGACACTAATGTCAATACCAATGTTGATGTTACGTGGGACACTAATGTCAATACCAATGTTGATGTTAGGTGGGACACTATGTCAATACCAATGTTGGTGTTAGGTGGGACACTAATGTCAATACCAATGTTGATGTTAGGTGGGACACTATGTCAATACCAATGTTGGTGTTAGGTGGGACACTAATGTCAATACCAATGTTGATGTTAGGTGGGACACTAATGTCAATACCAATGTTGATGTTAGGTGGGACACTATGTCAATACCAATGTTGGTGTTAGGTGGGACACTAATGTCAATACCAATGTTGATGTTAGGTGTGACACTAATGTCAATACCAATGTTGATGTTAGGTGGGAAACTAATGTCAATACAACAATGTTAGGGTTTGCTTCCCTTATTCTTTGAATAGGTGAGCTGAAAATGATGCTACAAAATATGAACATCTGTGTTCATACTTCTAAATATTGATATTTTGACCTATCATTATTTATTCATCTATATTCTTTTTGACATAAGACAATACCATGCACTCGATGAACTGTACTGATATTTGGATACTTATGCCAATGACTATAGTTCCATGTCAGTAGTTGTACTCACCGAAGTTGTGTGATGATGGAATGGAGACTGCTCTGTATAGAAGGTTCTGTATAGGCTATGGATTGGAACAGGTGTTTGTTGTGTAGCTCCCATGTCACATTAAATTTGGCTAAGTGGTCCGTTTTCTATAATATTAAAATTATATTCTTTTTATACACATATACATGGTATGTATTCTGTTAAATATTTTAAATAAATTAGGCATTTAGGGACAGTGTTCATTCCTAAAGAGATCATGAACTTTATACACAACTGTTTACACATACAGAATTATATATTTACGTGGTATTAACACATACCAGTTCTGTGAGGACCTCAGCCATTTTGCGCGAGACATGACAGAGATGTCCATACTCGTCCAGTAACATAGAGATGAAGGTCTTGGCTTCTGGTGGCGTTTTGTAACCACTATGTAACTGTTTCAACAAGCGCACTTTCATTTCTATCACAAACTCACGGACTTGTGACTCCAGTCGTAAGAACAACTGATGAGGATCTCGGCTACATAACCTGATACAAAATAGGAATGAAGTTAAAATTAGCTTTTATGGATTACATTTCTGTCAATATAACCATCTACAACATAATTAACTATGTTATATTAAGCTGAAAACAAGACTTCCTTTGAAAGGGTAGCATTTTTACAAGTATTGCAATGAAATTCTTGCACAAAAACACATATTCTTATTCCGCGATACACAGCATCAACCATTAAAGAAATCCACTAGAAAGGTATAGAATACCTGTGAACAAGTTCTTTTGCCTGTTCCTCATCAGGAAGTTGAGTATCATCACAGTCATTGCTATCATGGCTACTTTCGGAAGAAATATCTGTTGAGCTACTAACGCTGCAGTCCTCCCTCTCACTGTAAAGTTTACGGATCAGATTTCGCAGTACTGTCCAGCATGTCTGAAGTTCTTGAGTCTCTCTGTCATGCTCTGCTTCAATCTCCCTACATATATCCATATATATACATATATATATTTATATATATAAAATTCTGCATATATTGTTTTAAACTTTGAAGAACAGAAACAATTTTTAATAAAGTAAGTTAAGATCATCAAATCAATGATTATTTAGAGTTTAAATAACAACATGATTGAGATTTAAAATGACAAGATGAAGCGTCAAAATCCAGAGTAAAAATAACCAGTACCATCAAAGTTGTTTATCACACTATCATCTTCCTCTAAACGAATTAAACATAAATTAATCAAATCATGCTTTGTACTCATTTCCTCTACCTTCACATAATCAATCAGATGTTGGAAGATTTCAACTTAATCTACATCTACAAAATTGGTTTAAGCTATTCATTTGGACCCTTGGCTCTACAGATATTTAAATCATAACATATCAACTTAAAGTAATTACGCTAAAAATCTAGCTTATTCAAAATATTTCACACATGATACTTCTGACCTCCATGTATGCCAAAATCAATCCTTTCAATTGAGTTGATATGTGTTCTATTAAGAATGACATTGCTCACATATTATGTTATTTTTTTCAGATATTTTGAAAAGGCTTAAATTCAACATACTGACAGTGTTCATCCCTGCATGCTAGGAGAAGATATTTTTAACCATAATTGATGCCAGTGGCATACAGAACAATGACCTAGTATACTTTATATAGCCAGACCTACCTCCTCTCAGTACAAGCTTCACAGTTACACATAGAGCCATTAGGTGTGGTAGGTTCCCCTATACCGAAGTTGGTGTCTGATAGAAATGGCAGGGTTGCTGGCTCTGGTGGAAGATCTTGTTCCTGTATATAAAGTCATATGCATAGATATGCAATTGTACACTTAAAGGTAAAAATGTTATATCTAAACAAAATGTGTTTATAATTTGAAGATACAAGTTTATATATATCCTTACTTACACGTATATCACTACTTTCCCTACTAGGCTATATGCATCCTGTATCAATCCCTCTATATAAATGCAGTGTCCTCTACGTATGCAATATCTTATTTTCCTCACCGAACACATTCTACATAAAAGGTATGGGTAAGTGTTTGTGTGTGTTATACAATCTTGTGATCCTTAAGTGAATTAAGTAAAGTACAAATTCATACTAGAATCCCTCTGGTAGTAATGGGAAGCATTTTAAATATTGACTTCACTCAATTTATTTGGCCAAGCTCTCTGCCCATAACTAAACACTCTGCATATACAACAATGAAATACTTCTGAATTATCCTCAGAACATTATTAAGTCTAAATCCTTTCAACCATTCTAAATTACATATTGTTACCTTGTACAGGAAAAGACAACTGACAGATAACATTGTATTAAAATCATGTCTTCAACATTATAATTGTCTGTTATTTTTCTTTTTTAGTTACAATGTAAAAGAACTAGTGACTACTTTTAAGAAACTTCCTGACATGGTTACATGTAAGATCTTAGTGTAATAAGTGTTATTTGTAGCAAATTAAAAGTTATGCCCCCCCAAGAAATCAATAGTTTATCATTTTCAAAGTATGATATGTATATGTATTAGAAAAGTTTTAGGTCCTTTGTAATGTCTTACTTCGGTGTGAAGGGACACTGTTGACAAAAATACTCTATACACACCATGAGGGATGCTAGGTTAACTTTCTTTTCCATCTCTTGATCTGTTGACTTTCTGCAGTCTGGACACACCCACAATGGAAGCTGTAATACCATAATCAAACTTTGTCATTATTCTCTCTTTTAAAACTGTTCAACGAAATAACTACATATTTTACATATATTGTTTAAATATAATATTGCACAATTGCAAATCTGATGACAATATTGGGAAAGTTTACTGAATACTTGATAGTTTTGAGCAGAACAGAAAAAGATCACAACAGAAAGAAAAAAGTCAAATAATGTTACAGCTGTACTATTTAACAATACAAAATACAATGTTATAATATTAATTTTTACTTACCTGAGCCAAGGAATTCAGCTCTGTCTTTTTCTCACTGGATTCTGTGTAAATACAAATCATTTGGAAATAAAACATTGGTAGCCTAGGACTTTTCGCCTTTTATATTGCAATCAGTACAAAATTCTCATTTCTCAACTTACTCATTAACTTCAAATTTTTTTTCCCATATTAAACCTAAAACATTAAGTCATCAATCTCAATTTCAAAAATGCCTGATGAGAGTAACTTCAGTTAATGAAAGAAGTGTTACTGTTGATGCTTCATCTTTATTTTCATATCCAATGAGTAGGTTGATCAAATACAAATATATGACAATACATACGGGACTTGAGAACAGCAGCTTCAGGAGGATCAAGGCGCTCACAACCACACAAAAGGCATCGCTCCTTGTCTAAGTAGGGGTTTGGCCCCCGTGAGAGAGACAGGATCTGTGGCAACTCTGGGTCATCCTTGGCATCCATCAGCTTCTCTAGCTTCTTAAATGTCTAAAACAAATAAAATACATTCTTTATATTAATCCATGAGTGTATGTTTTCTATGTGGATAACTACATTTACCCAGCACCGTATTTATCCGCAAATATGCCCCTGCCAAAAATGAACCCCCTTCTTTGATTTTACAGTCTTCAATTTTAAAATTCCAAGCTAAAAATAGGTCAACCCTAACATTCATTCTAAACTTTTACATGGGGATGGAGGGGGCTGGGGTTTGTGTTAATATATAAGTAACAGATGATATATAAGCAGCCACAATCCACATTATTTGAATTTTTTGCAACATCTATCAGTGTTCTTTTTTTTCACTTTTTACATTTAGAGAAATATCTTAAATAAAATGAAGATTTAAAGGGAGTGAAATGTGTATTAAAGTGAAGGAAAGGAATAATTGATGCAATGATAGGTAATAAAATTTATATAGTAATGATTTAAAAAAAAAAAAATTTGCATCAATTATATTGCTTATATGTCACATATATGTAGATATTGTAATTATTGCAGAAGAAATAACCATTGCATTTTTAATTTAACCACTACCTAAAAAAACAATAGAAGTAAATTTAAAGTTATTACCGGTACCATCCATATGAAGAAAGAAATTTTCTAGATCTGTGATCAAGTGAAGCAAAGCCCATCTGTTAAATTTTTTCACAATTTTAATACAAGGTAAGTTTGTAAAATGAATTTCTATAATGAATTAGCTGAATACTGCATCACTGTGCAAGAATAAGTAAAAATCTTATTATTTGATATAGATGTTCATGAATTACAAAATGTATGATCATAATTTCAGGTACAACTTACACTACCTATGCATGTATATGAAGATGTTTGTAAGGCAATATTTATTCTACCCCTTTCAGTATGTTGTGATCTGGTAAAACTGAAGACACATGCATCTTATTAAGCCTATGTTTACAGTAGTGTATCAGCACATTACCTGACACTGAACTACATCCAGTACTAGTCCAAAAATAAAAACCACAACAGTATCTGCGTGTAGCCTTGTCCTATATATGCAATGCATATATATACACTACATACACAGCATTCACCAGAGCATCTTTCTATAACAATCGGATGTTAATACAAAGACAATTGTTAAATAGATTGTCCTGCCTCATTTTGTTTGTTGATCTAGATCTTACTGAATTATCTACATACAAGAGGTACTTAACTTAAATTCAATTTGTTCAGGGGATGAAGATGTCCAACAGTACAACTTAAGACAAATACTGTACATTAGGTTTTAAAAGTCTATGTCTAGCATTATTTTGAAAATGATTAACGTGTGTGTATGGATGAGAAAGTTTTGGGGACAAATAATATTGAAGCACCTTTGAGCAAAAAATTATTTTTTCACTCATTCAAATCAAACTCTATCCTTTCTATATTTCACTACATAGCTACAAGTGTTTTTTAATCATATTCCACTACATCAGAATGTTAGTAGAATGTACATACCAGTACATCATATTTTCATTATGATGACTTGGCTCAAATCTTAAACCATCATTATCTATTGCTTGATGGTGCCACTATGCACATTGTACTTTCCATGCTGGACCCTTACTTTCCCTCACAATCAATAAAGTTGTAAAGAAAAGCAACTAACAGAGCTTAATTGTTAATTGCTTATAATATTTGTAATAAAGAGCTCAAGCTTCTGGAGGCTTTTTGGAGGAAAGCTTGCAGCTGCATATGAATGGCACACATTTAGCCATGTAAATACTTAAATTTCAGTGTGTTTTTAATTATTAACTAATCATGTAATTGAAATGAGTTCAAATATCTTCAGATCTATTTAAAAGAAACCTAAAAACAGATGTAGTCAATGTTTTCCCAAAATTCTAAAAAGGGATTATCAACTCAATAAATCTCCACTTGAAAGAAACTGCTGCAAGATTTTTGTCAACAGCAATGTCCTAATGAAAACACTATACACATCCAAATTATTTATCATACTGTACTTCGTGTTACTAATACTCAACCCAACTTCATGTTAAAAGATTTCAACAAATTTCAAAGATGGAATTAATCTTCTGATAAGCTGGTTGATGAGAGAAAAAATGACATCCATGCATGTGTTTCTAGTAAAACGTTTAAGCCTTTTCATTTTTTTTTTGTTCATGGCTATCAAAAAGTACCCCTGACTCACACAGAATGTTCTGTCGGTCATAATGTATATTTATTGAGTCATATGTTCATTGATTAAAATTTTCTTATCACAATATGTGCTTAAAAATATTCAATTACTCAAAACTAGTATAGTACATGTATGTTGCATATATATTCACTAACACCAGACTGACTTCCTAAATCAATATCTTAGCTAACAAAATAGCTACAGGTTTAGGTATGTATTTAACAAATATATATAGACAGATGTCTATGACACAAGATGACTATCAAACTTTAACTTACATAAGATAGATATGTTTCCTTGAGTGAAAACATTAAGGATTGTACTGACCACCACATAAATGTAGCTATGACCAACTGCAATAATGTGTACACATACTGACCCCTACAGTAGATAGCTATGGCCAACTGCAATAATGTGTGCACATACTGACCCCTACAGTACATAGCTATGGCCAACTGCACTAATGCATGCACATATACCGATTCTTTTATAGCTATGTTAACTGAAAAAGAGTGTACACATATAATGACCCCTATATATAGCTACAGCTAACTGGACTTGTGCATGCACATATACTGACCCTTATATATAGCTACAACTAACAGGATTTTTGCATGCACATATAATGACCCCTATATTGAGCTATGGCTAACTGGACTTGTGCATGCACATTTAATGACCCCCTATATATAGCTACAGCTAACTGGACTTGTGCATGCACATATGATGACCCTTATATATTGCTACAACTAACTGTATTTTTGCATGCACATATAATGACCCCTATATATAGCTATGACTAACTGGGCTTGTGCATGCACATATAATGACCCCCTATATATAGCTACAGCTAACTGTACTTATGCATGCACATATAATGACCCCTACATCTAGCTACAGCTAACTGGACTTGTGCATGCACATATAATGACCCCTATATAGCTATGGCTAACTGGACCTGTACATGCACATATAATGACCCCTCTATACAGATATGGCTAACTGGACTTGTGCATGCACATGTAATGTCCCCTATATATAGTTATGGCTAACTGGACTTGTGCATGCCCATTTAATAACCCCGATATATAGCTATGACTAACTGGGCTTGTGCATGCACATATGATGACCCCTATATATAGCTACAGCTAACTGGACTTGTGCATGCACATATAATGACCCCTATATAGCTATGGCTAACTGGACCTGTACATGCACATATAATGACCCCTCTATACAGATATGGCTAACTGGACTTGTGCATGCACATATAATGTCCCCTATATATAGTTATGGCTAACTGGACTTGTGCATGCCCATTTAATAACCCCGATATATAGCTATGACTAACTGGGCTTGTGCATGCACATATGATGACCCCTATATATAGCTACAGCTAACTGGACTTGTGCATGCACATATAATGACCCCTATATATAGCTACAGCGAACTGGACTTGTGCATGCACATATAATGACCCCTATATATAGCTGCAGCTAACTGGACTTGTGCATGCACATATAATGACCCCTATATATAGCTACAGCTAACTGGATTTGTGCATACACATATAATGACCCCTATATAGCTATGACTAACTGCACAGGTGCAAGCATATATATACTGACCCCTATACAGCTACAGCGAACTGGACTTGTGCATACATATACATAGTTAAATACATGCATGTAAGTGGTACTCTAGATGTATTGGCATGCACAAAATCAATATTTTTTGTTGGATTTTTTCAGACGAGTCCAGAACACCATTTTCAAAATTTTGATGTTACCCATATTACTAAGAGATAAAGTGGATCCTCAAAATTTGAGAGTAAATCATGAGTTAAGGAATGAAATATCAGAGTTACCTATATATCAATGAATATGTAGCTTTAGTTCTGTGTACACTTGCAAATTTAACTCATCTACTTGAAGTTACTTGTATCATTTTCCCAAACCAACACTATACATCTTTGATTTCCTGAAAGGAAACATTTGAAGCAACTCGGTGATTCAATTTACTAGAAGTTTGTAAAACATTCTGGAGGCCAATTGCAGTAAGGAAGTTACCTTATTCACAATATTATAGTAAGATTTGTTCTCTGTTCCTGATCAATGTTACAATAATGTTGATGTGTTATACTTATATTTTCTGGCCCTAATGACTTGTTGAATGAAAGTGGACATAGGAGACCACCCTGTTTCACTCCAAACTTTCATGTACACATGTGCCTTTCCTTATATTAAACAACCCTAGCACTCATACAAGTAATGCTGACATGTCCTTGAATGACTATGTATGTCAATTATAATTAGGATGTTATATACAATATATCATATGACAGATAGTTAGTATACAAATCTTTCAACCATATATTATATATCCTATATATCCCAATATCAGCAATTGTTCTTTTGAAATCACTGTCTACATTTTCAATTAGTGTGAAGGTATGGGTTATAAAGGTGTCTTTAAAAAAGACATTAAAACTTAGAAATCTGATAGAAATATAGGACTTTCCTAACACATTTGGTTGTTTGATGTTTTAAAAGCAGATGGCAATAACTTTACTGATGATCAAGAGATTCGAATGTTTTTTAAGAGTTATCAGAAAAGAAAGCCACAACCTGAAGGTCAAAACATTAGTGTTGATGATAAATGGCGAAAAATTCCATTATTATCCATTGAGGATATTTTATGAACCATTGTACTTTGTTCCTTGAACATGAAGATCTTACTAGAGAAAATATTCCAGAGCACAACACTGTGTTCTCAGAAGCATTTCTTGGCATGCAGGTGACTGTCATACTTGACAGCTCATATATCTTTATTCCTAAGAGTTCTGATCACAAACTCCGGAGAATCTCCTATTGTGGCCAGAAAAAGCTGAACTATTTGTAGTTCATAAGTATAGTCCTGTCTAATGGTTACATTCTGGACCTTTACATTTTAGAACACAAGAGCGAGACCCAAAGGAGAGGGCACTGGCAGCCAAAATGAAAGTGCACATTAGTGTTCACAACAACTTAGCTCAACATGTGAAAAATGAGCCAGATCTTACCAGAAGGAACAAGTCACTACTTGTCAAACTAGGTACTACTGCAGATTATTGCGAACTTCCAAAGTTCAGACATGGAATACCTTTGGGCAATATCCTGTGATAAATATCATTGGCAGCTGGTTACATAACAGAGCACCTCAGTGATGATGGAAACTATGAGATCTGGGTTTATTGGTACTCTCAAGATCAGATCCACTCAAGGCATAAGTACAATGTTTGGATCCAGCATGACAGCTCAAACCTTATTATCCTTTTTTGGATCATTATTGCCAATGTGATATTAGACCGAGAACAATGGGGGTATGTGCCCATATAGCCAGTATCCTGTAATGTTTAAGATACTACATGCATTCGGAAACCAGCAAGCCTTTGTATCCAAAAGTCAAAAGGTCTAAGACAATCCTTAATTAATGTTGATGCTATATTCAAGGCATTAGGTATGGTAGATTTGGACAATTAGAACTGCATTACTGTACGATGTAGAGCTACACTGACATGGCAAATCTGATTCTAGGATGAAGAAGCCTTATTGGATTCCAGATTAAGTGGTTTAATGTGTAAACAAACTTAAATCTATCATTTAGCATTCTTGTTAGAATATTGATTCTGCAGTTGTAAGAACATTTAATTTTTGTGGTCATCAGGGAATATGACAACCGTTTTGAAAATTGAAATTTCACTTTTGTGGGTTATAAGTGTAGGTGGCAATCCTTTTGTACTAATAAAACCAAGTGTAAACATTTTATTTCAGTTTATCTTACCTTCTTTGGAAGATGTATTTTTAACCTTCACAAAATTTTGCTGATATAAAAAGAGCATGTTCTTTCTAAAAACTCATTACATTTTCATCTCCTATTCCAAATTATTAAAAACTGTGACTTCTTGCTTTGCATATGAAATCCAACATGTTATTATCAGCATATTCAGGTTTCATTTATTTTAAAAAATGAAAGAAATGATATTGTAACATTCTCCTCAAAAACCTTTTATTTTTTCCATTTTTTGGCACAAAAAGGGTGCTTTATTTTTATGTATATACATGTTTGGACTTAAATGCCTATGTGTAAATGTACGGATACACATGCTATCATTAACATATACGAGCTGTTGTATTTACTTCTTAATTAGGCCATTTTGAAATCCCACCTTTGTGTAAACCATACAATAACAGGATTAAGATGTTTTCAAAACTTTTTTTAAGAAAACCTAAGAAAATTTAGTATATTTATGACAAAAATAAATAACAATCACGGTGTCTATTGATTTTCATTGCAGAATCAATATGTTTACATTGAATATTTTTAACATGCCAACATTTTGTATATATCAATATTCCCTCAAAGCAAGAGGTACTAATATATTGGACATCATGTAGTTGCCTAGTTGGCAGAGTGCCATCTTACCAACATCAATTTATCCGTTTATTAGCCAGTACCTTTCTTAAATCTAAGATTTCATATCTTTTTATTTATGAACAGTTGTAATCTAATCTGGTCTCTGTATTATTAGTAAATGAAATGCTAGGTCATCACAATGAGCTGCAAAACATTATTACAAGCTATTCAAAGTATGTATCTGTATAATTTATGTTTTACTTGAACTGCTGCAAAAATAAATCACACTAATTATATATATATATACTGACATGGAGTTAAGAAAACAGAAACAGTTAACGAATGATATGGCTAGTCTAGATTCCAATGTATATCAGGCCAAAGAATTAAGTTACAGGGAAGGTTCACTGTAAGCCTGTTTTGGACCGTTTTTCAAGCACCCTTTGGGGTCATGCTATTTATCGAACTGTTAGTAACATGTATGAGGTGTCATATATTTATTCAGAGACATCGAACCATGCACCAGCAACACTTCATGCCCTACCATGTTGTAGGCAATATAAATACACAAATCCATAAACGGACATGACAGCACCCTCGCCGGGGCCACATCCGACTGCAGCTAGCACCTGCCAATATTTATTCCATGGTAAATCTACAAAGAAATGCGTTATATCTCCATTTTCCAACAAGATGAGTTTACCTCTGAATCGATGGATGACGATAATAGGTCTCTGGTGGAAGGAACAGTCAAGTCAACAGGACTTGGAATATTTTGACATGTTGCTTGACTCAAGTTTTGTGACTTTGACTTGGCAACTGAGCTTCTCTTGTTTTTCTTCCTCTTAAGTTTCTTGTCGTCTGACGCGCTCATGATTAAGATAATAAAACACTTTGACGAATCAAGATATTAATTCCTCGATCCCTTTACCAAAACATTGGATGCATGAAGAGCTACCACTAAAATATTTTGATAGGGCTCTCATCGCAGAAAACCAACATGGCGATACGTTGAGCAACATACCCAGAATTCCACAGGGCTGTCTATTCAGGGGAGGTAACCACTCCGGAAAAGATGGGGGAAAACATATGGAAAAAGTGTTAGAAAGATAGGAGTTAATGCCAAATTGAAAAGAATACATAGACTATAAATGTTACTGCGTGCAGATAGTAGTACACTGGAATAATTAAAGGTTAAATATAACATTTTTATTAGGAGATGTTCTATTATATATTCCCACTGCAATTATATTTTAGATCAACAAAATGCATTTTGAGATTTCGAATACGAGAGTCTGGGGGAACATTGCTCTTAGAGAAAAACGAGGAACGGCTCTCTGTTAATACTCACTGAAAAAAAATCTTGATTTTGGAGAGGGATAAATCGTGGCCGGTCATTCCTTGGGAGTCTCCGCTGGTTCACACCAATTAACATAAACGAGAGTAGTGCACATGTTCAAAATAAAAACTGTCGCATTTACATTGTAGTATGCACAGCATTCGTGATATTAGTAAGAGCTGTAGAGGTAATTAATGTTTGTAACTGAGCAATCACTGAAATCTCCTCTGAAAAAGATGTTACTTAATTTTAAGGAAGATATCTTAATAATGCAAATATTGCACGTTCACACAACATATTTCTGTAGACCTACATTTCAAATCTATGCTTGTTTTCTCATCCTTGTGTGTGAAGTATTGTTTAACGGTTCACCTCAGACATCGACCATTTCCCAGGTTATGTTTAAAATACAATTCAAATGGACTTTGAATCATGAATGTATGTTTGTGGCTATTCCCCAAACTTATTTATTTATTTATTTATTTATCCCTTGTCTATAACTGACCGCGGATCCGTGTCTCTGATATCCCCGCTATTCCTCACTACTGCGTTTTTGCGCTTTCCTGTCTGTCCTGTGTCTGAGTAGTTCCATCTGAATCAATGTTTGAAGTGAACAAGTTGTCAGTCCTGTGTCTGAGTAATTCCGTCTCTGTTACGTTTTATATTTTGCCTTCCTGTCTGTCCTCTGTCTGAGTAATTCCGTCTCTATAGCTGTTTGTATTGAACATTCCTGTCTGTCGTGTGTCTGAGTAATTCCGTCTATATAGCCGTTTGTATTGAATGATTCTTGTCTGTCCTGTGTGTGAGTAATTCCGTCTCTATTACTTTTTATATTGTACCTTCCTGTCTGTCCTGTGTCTGAGTAATTCCGTCTCTATAGTTGTTTGTATTGAACATTCCTGTCTATCCTGTGTCTGAGTAATTCCGTCTCTATAGTTGTTTGTATTGAACATTCCTGTCTATCCTGTGTCTGAGTAATTCCGTCTCTGTTACTTTTTATATTGTACCTTCCTGTCTGTCCTGTGTCTGAGTAATTCCGTCTCTATAGCTGTTTGTATTGAACATTCCTGTCTATCCTGTGTCTGAGTAATTCCGTCTCTGTTACTTTTTATATTGTACCTTCCTGTCTGTCGTGTATCGGAATAATTCCGTCTCTATCACTCTTGTCTGTCCTGTGTCTGAGTTCTTCCGCTTCCTTCACTATCTGTGTTTTACCTTAGTGTCAGTCCTGTGTCTGAGTTCTTACGCCTCCTTCACTATCTGTGTTATATCTTAGTGTCAGTCCTGTGTCTAAGTTCTTCCGCTTCCTTCGCCATCCGTGTTGTACCTAATTAGTGTCAGTCCTGTGTCTGAATCATTTGTCCTTTACCAGTATATGTATTGCGCCTTCCTGTCTGTCATGTGTCTGAGCAATTGCGCCTCTATTACAATTTGTGCTATGCATATCTCTCTCTGTCCTGTTGTTCCACCTGATACCGTAGTTGTTACGCTGGTTAAAATAACCCCATGGTTAGACTTCCAGGCCATAATAGATAAAAATTGTAAGCTACATCATCTAAAAAACTTGCGAAGAAAACGATGAAATCAAACCGTCTAGTCCCTTTCACACATTGACATTGTTGGAATATATATAAATATATATATATAGCAAAATAGACGAGTGTTACTTAAAACTTACTGTCGTTAGGCTTGAATTAGAATAGGGATTTGTAGAATGAAAAAAAACCTGTTCCATGAATAAGCTACTTTTCCACTTGTGTTGAAGTAGCCAGATATTGTTTTGTTCAACTGTGAATATTTGACCCCTCCTGTCGTATACAAGTCCATACAAAGGTTCATACCAAGGTTCATCTTCACATATTCACTTCCAAAATATCGCCGCGGTACAGGTCGTTGGGGAGTAATGGGATGGCTTACAATAGAAAACTGATTTTTTTTCTGCATGAGTGACCACCCATCCTTTATCTGCAGCCATCTGGTGTTCACGAGACAATGGGCAAGAATTAATTCTTTTCACACATGGCTATTTTTAATATCTTTAATTTACTGGAGTAACACCTTTTACTTGAAAAAAAGATTGAACGTCTGCTTTCTAATTTTACTTACACACACATATATATAATATAGTTGTAACTGATACATAGTTTTATGTACCAGTATATGTACGTTTTCTATCCTGTTAAATACACACTGCATTGCGACGACCTGGGGATTTGTCAGAGTCTAAATGAGTATATAGTATTATCAGAAATCTCAGGGCTAGATAAAAATGTCACTCCTTCATGGCGTAATGGATTGACGGACAGTTCTACAACCCCCCCCCCCCCCCCCCCCCCCAAAAAAAAAAAAAAAAAGAAAAAAAAACTTATAAAATATCCACGTACAACCAAAAACACACGTTTACTAAAGTGTGAATGGCACCAATTTCCCAGCAAAACGTCTGAAAAAATGCCAAGTTAGTATGACGTTCGCCTGGCGAGCTGCAGTGTTGCTTGCTTCTTGATCAATCTAAGTAATGTCATGTTGTCAAAATGACAACCAGATAGAACTGTCAACCACTAGGCATAATAGCGGACATTAAACACACATTTCCCCAGTAATGACATGATGGGGAACAGAAAACGTCTTCATAGTGTTAAGTTACCCTCATTTCCTTTAGCTTTCGACATAAAACAAGAAAATCGAATCCACCGTGACTTTTATAAAGGACTCCGTAGATTTTGAAAGCAGAATAGCAACTATCTAGAAACGGAAAATTTCTAAGCAACCCGAAATCATATTGTAAACTTTTTGGGAAGTATAGAAAGGTTTTTTTTATCTTGGTCTATCTGTGTCCGAGATAAAAATAAAATCGCGGAGAAATAATTAGAATCCGCCGTTCTATAAGTGGGAATACACTATTGCTGGTTGTGTAAATTTTGAAGACCGGCATATATATCCGACATGGAAACGACCTATAATTACTTCAGTTGAAGTTTTGCAATCAGATCAGTCGCTAAGCTTAACCAATGACTCTAGACTGTGCATTTTAGTAATTATGGTTCTGTCGGTAAGCTAACTACTGGTTTTAGATGTAGTAGACTTTAACAAGGTTCTGTCGGTAAGCTAACTACTGGTTTTAGATGTAGTAGACTTTAACAAGGTTCTGTCGGTAAGCTAACTACTGGTTCTAGACTGTAGTAGATTTTAACAAGGTTCTGTCGGTAATCTAACTACTGGTTCTAGATGAAGTAGATTTTAAAAAGGTTCTTACGGTAAGCTAACTGCTGGTTTTAGATGTAGTATATTTGAAAAGGGTTCTGTCGTTAATCTAACTACTGATTCTAGATGTAGTAGATTTTAACACGGTTCTGCACGTAAGCTAACTACTGGTTATAGACTGTAGTAGATTTTAACAAGGTTCTGTCGGTAAGGTAACTGCTGGTTCTAGATGAAGTAGATTTTAACAAGGTTCTGTCGGTAATCTAACTACTGGTTCTAGATGTAGTAGATTTTAAAAAGGTTCTGTCGGTAAGCTGACTACTGGTTCTAGACTGTAGTAGATTTTAACAAGGTTCTGTCGGTAAGTTAATCACTGGTTCGATATACATGTAGTAGATTTTAACAAAGTTCTGTCAGTAAGCTAACTGCTGGTTCTAGATGTAGTAGATTTTAACGGGGTTCTGTCGGTAAGGTAACTGCTGGGTCTAGACTGGAATGGATTTTGACAAGTTTCTGTCGGAAAACTGACCATCGGTTAGTTCACCTGTCCCGTGGGGCCAAGTGAACTTATGACATATGTTCGGACATCAAAGTTTCCTACAAATTGGTCTGAATTTTTGTTGGGGAAAGAGGACTCATGGGACGGGACCAAATAGAGGAAATAGAAAACAACCTCTTTATAATGTGTTTTCTTCAGCAGGAATGTCAGGATTCTGATCCAGTTTGGTCTGAAGCTTCCTTGCGGAAACGGGAATCAATTGGTCTCGGCATCCTATAGGGGAAATGGGGCTATTAAAAAACCCTTCCTCTTCAGTAGGAATGTCAGGATTCTGTCAGAATTTGGTCTGAAACATAATTGGATCAAGGGAAATTAGTTTTGTGTAAATCGTGGGTCTCGGCCGAAAGAGCAAGGTCACTTAAAGGGAACTGAGCAAATTCTTGAAGAGCATCCTTCTTCTGAAGGATATCAGGATTCTGTCCCTCTTTGCTCTGAAACATCCTTGGGTTAAGGGGAATTAATGTGAATTTTTGTAAAATGTTTTGTCAAAAGTGGAACTGAGCAAATTGTTAAGATACTTGTTCTTTTGATGGGCTAGGTCTGGACCCTTTGGGGCGGAAGGGCCAGGGTCCAAAATCTCTGATATAAACACTATAAATGCTGTTCATTTAGTTTAGATGAAGCAATTTCAGCAAACTAAATCAAAACAGCAAGTATTGTAGAGTTTATTATGTTTATCTTGGTAACCTTTCTACCTTTAGGGTACTGGCATAACTCAGTTTGTAGAAGATCATGTTTAAGAAGGAATTTCGATGTTTACAAACTTCTTGTATTTTTTGTGCAGGGGTTTAAGGCTGCATTAACTAAGGGCCATAACTCTAAGAGTCATGCGATCCAATATCAGCACCAAGGACCAATTAACGTAAAATCAGTAAGTATTAACGACTGTATGAGACCTGAATTTAGTTGTGAACATTTTCTAATGCCAAAGAATCAAATCAGGGTGAAAGATGATGAGATGCACAGACAGCAAAGCCTGAACACCAATCTCCTAATGTTATATGAATGACAAGTCTAATATCAGATCTTTAAATTACATAAATCAGTACATAAAATGCATGTAAGTTAGCCACGACAGGGCATTATATAGGTCAGCCAAACTAGACATGGAATTCAGCTGTTTATTGCTAAAAACAATATGAATACAGAGAAAGATAACATCTTTAATTAAAAACATAACAAAACAAGATTAAGATATAGTGTATATCATTAGCTTATATTATACACATGACTACCTAATACAGTATGCAGGAAGTATGTCATGGTTTTCAATTAAATATTAATAAATGACTCTTTCTTACAAGAAGAAGGATGTATATGTCTACCATTATCTATATGTGGCTATTGTTACATTCCAGTATAATTATGTCCTGAGGTAACACTGGCATTCTATAGAAGCACTGTAACACAATCAATTATCAAAATGAAAAATATGAAACAGATGTATATTTCACCATGTGACTCTGCCACATTCTGGCATATCTTGTCCCAATCTAACATAAATATGAGTTAAGTACAGGAAAAATATAATGGGAATCTTATCCTACATTTTGAATACATGGAAACTCAAATTTCTTTGGAGATTTAAACAAACTATATATACACATATTTACAGATAATATGTAAAAGTCTTTCACTCTCTCCAGAAAGAGTGGATGATCCAGAAAAAAGATACAGCCATGTATGTTATAGAAGGATGATTATTGATTTTAAATTAACTAAAGTAGACTGATCCAGAACATTGACATGTAATTATGAACTCCCCCTCCTCTCCATCTTATGCCTCATTTAGTTATGATGGAGGTGTATTTGCATGGCAAATAAATGAGGGAAGGGACATAACTCCGGCCATTGTCAATGGAATTTGCATCACAGAAATTAAAAAAAAAATTGATACAGGTGGCTAGTAAATTTGTATTAAGAAGATGTGTATTCTAAACCATACTGAAGATTTTATGCTTAATGGATAGGTAGGAAAGCTAATATATTTCATAAATATTATTAATGTTATTGGTGATCACAGATTTTTAGGACTGCCTTGATATCACAATTGATTTACTAAATGACACCTCATACTGAGGAACAGATTGTAAAAAAGAAAGTGAGGTAACAAACATGAACAATTAGATTATATTTTTTTCTTTAATTTAAGAGAATGAAATCTTGATATTCAAAATATAATTAAATATTTTGAGTAAAGTAAGGATTTTATTTTTGGATTTGGAGAGAGTTCAGAAAATCAATTGTTTTACATTTTACATTTGTTTTATATTCAAAAATAAAAAGATGTATTCACCCACAGGAAATTGCATCTTGAACCAGCGACCGATATACTGTATAAGTTTCATTACAAATTTATACTTTAAATCAGTACAACATGTGCAATGCAGTCTAGTCGTTTCAGAAGCAACTTTCTACCTGATGTTCAAATATCATGTGATCAAATCTTTGAATGTGAATGACCCACACTTTTTCTCAACACTCACAACATTTAACATTGTGTAAAAATATTGAAACATCAGTAAAAAAAACATATTATTTCCATACACAAATATATTTACATACAAATATATTTACATACACAAATATATTTCCATACACAAACATATTTACATACACAAATATATTTCCATACCCAAACATATTTACATACACAAACATATTTACATACACAAATATATTTCCATACACAAACATATTTACCTACACAACATGATGTTTTATATCTCAATTCATGATGTATACAAATATACCATAAATACTTCAGTACTTAGATTGTCTGAAGTGTGCTCTGCAGGCAGTAAATATGCTAAGTTTCTTCCCCAAACTTAAATACATCGACTATAAAAAATAATGGCACAAGGTGATAATATCAAGTTTTCCTAAGAAATGGTAAATGATTCATGGTATTTCATACAATAACACAATACATGTATACCAAAAATGATTCAAGAATTATTTCAGTTTTTGTTTCAATCACATAGTAAATTTTCCAACAATAAGTTTCTCACAAAACACATCTTAAAGTAAAATAAAAAAACCATAGATCTTTTTGACTGAAGCAACTTTAGGAATTGATTCACTTAATAGCTAGTTGAGCTTTTTAATGGAAAATTGCCATCTTCCATTTATGTGTATTTCTAGTCATAGGTCAGAGGTCAGACAGCTCAGAGAAAAGGAGACAGACAAGGCAACACTCTCATCAAATATTTCTATTGCAAAGAATTTTCCTGTATTTGAAGCAGTTTTGGTATGTGACATTCTTTTTTCTTTATTTACCAGCCAAATGATGTTCTATATGATGAATCTTTCACTAATCTAGAGAAGTATTGGTGCAACCTAAATTTCAAGATAAAGGACTGTAGTGAGTGTTAAACTCTCTACATATTTTTTATTTCAATACTAATACCCTTCAAAGGTGTGTAGTGAAAATAACATATGGCTACAGCCACAACATTGTCTAATATAATACATATATACAAATCATGTAAATAAATTTCCACTCACAGGTTTTTTGCATCCACATAGAAAATACATTTTCCCTACAGAATTTCAATGACTCCAAGTGTGAAATTTCAAATACTGGGTTAATTTGTCATCACCATAGCACTAAAGATGAATCATGATCATAAAAAGATGGGATGAATCTGCCGCAGTGTTAATTTTTTGCGACAAGTTGGACAACGTTTCTGGGTCTGGATGGCGCCTTGGATACACACATTACAGAAAATATGGCCACATGTAGTTGAGTTGAGTTGTCGACCATCCCTGGTTATCTACAAGAATCAACAAGAGTTGTAAAAGTGATGATATTGACTAGGGTACTTTTTTATTCTATAATCTTTTTTACCATCTGGTCACACTATTTTTGACCTTAGTGTACTTTGGATTACAGTGTAAAAAGTTGGTTGATTCCTTACAATGTTGTACACTATGTATCTATGTTAGTGCTGTTCACACTGGTCTTTTGTCTGATGAAGGTGACCATGCAGTCACTTAAGTGTCACACTCAAATCTTTTACTCGTGTTATACTCTATTCATTGAATATCCAACCATCTGATTTAATGGGATAAAAACAAGGTTACCTATCTCAGAAACAAAAGATTTATAGCACTTTTCTTTAATAAAGTGTAGTAATATCATACTATTTCTATGCTTTTGGTACATATTGTGTTAGCTAGAATGTAGGAAAGAGAGTTAAAATGCTGGTAATGAGCTCACTCGTTTATCACTATCCAGGCACACAGGACAAGTTATCTTCCTGCCCCCAGGCAAGGACGCCACAGAGTCATCTAGATCTGGGCTGAAAAGTAAAATACCAAAACTGTGAATAGCTTTAAGAACTGTGAACATTATGACGTCAAATATATCATCTGCAGAAATACTGGATTTTCCCTCTATCACTTCATTTACATAAAGAAACCTATATATATGCAGATTAATATTTGATAAATATCATCAGTATTTTGCCTAACTTAGTAAAAAATAATATCTTTCAAAAATTGCATTTCATCTTAATGAAGACTGTTTGATTCATCCATATCTCAGCCAGAAAAAGATTTATTTTTTTGTTTTAAAAATGTAGTCGATTTGACACAATCTGCCTCTATTCCTCAGGGTCAAACCATAAACTCGATAATTTATACATTCTATTTCATTTTAGTGTACCTGTATATCCTGTTTTATTATACACAACATGCAATATTTCATTATTCATATCTGAAATTTCCATGTTTTTCATTTTTATGATACACTGCCTAAAAGGGTAATATATTAGGAAGTACTCTAGTCTTACAATATCTCAGAGGATTACAAACTTGCATGGTTTGAAATATTTTACACACAAATTTGGATTCAGGTTTATTTATATCGGCCCAAGCAGTTACTCACTAAAAAATACTTTATCTTTCCACAAATAATCAATAATCATCATCAAAAAAAATAAAAAAAAAATTGTAAAATGAAAAAAAAAAAAAAAAATCTGATGAAGTCAAAACGTAGCATGTTAACATATAACTTGTCCTATCATATATGTTGTGTTACTTACAGAGCCCCCAAAACATCATCAATTTCATTTGTTTCTTCCATTAGGAGATCACCAGACAAGTTGAGAGCTCCTTCTTCACGCACCTGAAATCATTCAGTTCAGAAATTACATGCTGTGATAGGTCTAAAACGATCTTATTCAATCAAACTTCCATGGTCTTTCACAATTTTCTTTATATTTACCAAATTAATATTGGAGAAATAAATACCACTTACAAAAAGGACCGATTCATCTGCAGTGCTGTTGAAGGCTGGAGCTGCCACAGCAGTGGGACTGGTAAGGTCAATAAAGTCATTGCTTGTGTCATCTGTAAGGTCTATACAACTCCTGTTGGGACGAGTTGCCACTATCTGTACATCTGAAATAAGAAAATTAAAGGGATCTCTTTTAAATTAAATTCTATGATTTATAAAAAGTTTGTGAATTTACATAAACTAAACAAATATTTACCAGTTACTTTGAATCGTGTGAAGATGTCTGTTTTGAAGAAAATGAACTGAGCTTACAGTGCCACTATAAAGTCTGCAACAGACCCATTGTGTCAAAATCATTTTCAAGTTATTCCAAACTGGTCAAGAAACACATTACAATGGCACCATAAACCAACAGAAAACAAGAACATTGTAACACAATCTTATCACTTCAATGAATATTCACAGTAAGAGTACAGCAAATGAATTCTTTAACTGAAGTTTTGTTTGTACATGATTTGACAATATTTTAACACAATAGAAAAAATCAAACAGTCTGATGCAGAATTCAAACTAATCATTGAACCAAAGAGAAGCTACTTTTTTTATTGATGTATGAGATGAGAGATACAAAAAAGCAAAGTGTGAGGTCCAAAGGTCACGAGGTTTAAACATAAAACAAGATGTTAAAAGTTTTAAATTAAATCATAATCAAACAGGAGAGATGACCATAAGGATAACAAGTTGTCAACTAATCCTGTGTGGAGTATATCAGTAACTTTGATAATTCAATCAAACGTTTGTATGTTTTGGTTTACATGATGGAGTTAGAGTTGTTAATATCAGTATAGTGAATATCAGCTGGTCTTTTCTTACAAAAACCTAAACAAATTCTACAATCATTGAATGAATTCAACATCAGTTGACAAATTATTCAACAACCATAATTATGGATGTCCAGCAACAAATGTTTTTTGGTCTTCTCTCACAGTAACAACTCAATTCGCACAATACCTGTATGTTTACTTTGTCAGGCAAAAATAATGAACAGTCAATCGTAGACTTAGTAATGGTCATCTTTTAAAATACAAGATACTTCTTGGATCTGCATTGTTCAATGTTCTGCAGCTTATGAAGAGAAGACTTTAATGAAATTTTATTTAAGTGAACTTGAAAATCCTTTACCCCTGCATGCTAATGGACAAATTATAAGACATTTAGAAAAGTCATTCAGAGAACTGATCTTTTCTTTTGAACTTGAAAGAGTCATTAGGTTATCCATTCAAACAAAATTTCATCTTTTATCAAAGCACGCTACAATGGCCAAATATTTTCACAACTTAACTCCTAAAGAGGTTCTTTAAATGAAAAAGTTGATGCTGGTCATATTGTGCACAGGTGAATTATATAAATGAAATAAGGAAAATGCATCAATCTGTGCTAAGCTAATCAACCAGGCAGCTTGCTATTGGTTCAAGTGCTACTAAGTGCATTATGCAAAATCATTTCACAATATACCATTGGAGTCCTGCTCTTCATTTGTTGTAAGTATCACCCGTGAATGTATTGGTCTTCTGCTAGATACCACCTCTCTCCTTCTCAGGCGGCGACGAGCACGGGACTGTAACATATAAAAGAACGAAAATATGAATATCATACATGTAAATACATCATTCTGGCTCCTGAACTGTGAAGCAAAAGTAATTTCCCTGTGCTATAAAATGAACATGTTGATACAGAAATTTCATTTTATACTCAGAGAATAACATATAAGATTTAATACAACTCTTAGAAATGAAGGAAGTTAATTCAAATTGCTATTTATTCCCCAACTTTTTCTTTTCCACAAATTATAGTATTTTTGTAAGTTATCATAAAATTTCTAACCCATACCTCTCCCATCATTATCACTTTCTACAGCTCACTTTTTTAAAGTGACTTCCATGTTTGCAGAAAATGTTGGAGATGCTAGAAGTATTCCTGTGGCATTACAGCACTTTTCCAATTTTCTTCTTGATGTGATGGATGTCATCTTGAGTGTGGAGGCCCCAGGCAGTACTGGCATACTTTACTTAAATGTGATATATGCCAGAGACTATATCTTGGTCGAGGAAATCTGTGAGTTCCCTTGAAATAGCCCAGTCTCTTGTTTGCATTGCTAGTAATTTTATGGGTGAGAATCCCATTTCATGTTGCTTGAGATTGTGATGCCAATGAAGACTGCTGATTGGATTTCTTTGAAGTAGTGGTCATGTATGTGGTTATTGCACCCATCTTCATACACCATTGATCCTCCTGTTTTCCAGCTTTTCTAGATCACTTTGTATTATGGCCTTTAATTACTATGCTGCTTTCTGTGGTAATGGTGAGGTGGGCAATAGCGTCATTGACAAAAACCAGACAACAGATGCCATGCAGGTCATTAATACAGAAGAGTATGACACATGGTCAGAGAACTGATCTGTATGGCTCTCCCATGTCAAAACTCACAAGTGTCTATGTTTCCTGTTATATGACAACTACCTGTGAATATCCCAGGAGCCAGTTCTGGATAAAAGTGTTGATCTTACCCTGGATGCTGCCCTAACCATGGACCTTATAGACATGAGAAGGCTGTGATTTATCATGTCAAAGACCTTAGCGAAATCCATGAAAAGGACATTTGTCTGATAGCTGGCATGGAGGTTGTTTGTAAGATCATCCATAAAATTAATGTGTTTGGTTTCAAATAAACTTCCAGAAACCGCTGTAAGTCACAGGGGATATGTTGTTTTCTCCACGCTGTAGGGATGATGATGTGCTCCATTACTCTGTAGCAAAGTGATGTATTGGGAAATTGGCCTGTAACTGGTTGCAGTGTATCTCTGCCTTTCTTGAAAACAACTGAGGGATACTTCCGCAATGTGCTGGTCATTCGAAAAAATATCCATTCTAAGAGACTTAACAACAAGAAGTTTAAGCAATGGAGCTGTTTGTATATTTTCTATCAATATTTGCATCTCTTCAGCAACATCTTTTGTTGGACATGATTTCTTTAAATAGAGTGTTTTTGTTATTCTTAAACCCATTTAAAAAAGAAAAATGGAAGCCAAGAAATCATCAACATTTTAAGAGTGATTGTTGCCCCTGTAAGTTTGAGGATCATCAACAGAAGCGAAAACCAATAAAATATACAGGACCCCAGAAACGTAAAACTTAGTGATACTATATGAATGGGTGCACCCTTTATATAACAACACATTTTTGGAGTTCTATAGCTTTTGCTTATCTTTAAACCTCTTTTGATTATCATGTACAATTTTGTTCACAGTTAAATAAACAGTGTTTTTTTTTTTTTTGACGAATTTCGATGACTTCTAAACTTCCGAGATCGTCATTTGTTTGAAGGTTCAAAAACCACGAAAAACGTTTTGAAACCAAAATTGAAAATAATGGTTGCAATCTGCAATCAAGCAAGAACAAGCCTAATGAACAGCCTATCAGCGGACAGGTTATCGACGTCTCGACTTTCCTAGGGTAACACCGCCTTACATTTACTGGGTTAACTACACATTTTGAAAAGATGGCCAGTCAGTTTTAAATGGAAATTTGGTCTAGCAGTTTCTTATTTGAAACGATACATAAAGTATTTTTTATCTTTAATTTAATTTCTGGTTAATTTAATGATTTTAAAACCACAAATGTGGTGTAAATTACACTTCTGTGACATAACAAGATTATTATTACTTACCCTGTCATCTCTTACTCTTGAAGCCATCTTGCATTGACGAAATTGAGAAACAAGGGGAGATAAATCAATGTTATTAGAACTCTTCAGTTAAGAAGTTAATAAATGTGTACACTTCCGAAAATTGACAGAAAAAGCAGCTGACGACAAGAGTGGATGCATTTTCCATCGTTAGAACACAGATGATGTCTTCTTGTCTTGGATGCTCACATAGAATCAGTTGACTGTTAACGATTGATTTGCTTAGGGCTTTTTCTGCTTAATTCATTGTGAAGGAGAGTCATGGAAGTGTATCATACAGAGGACCATTACATACTGCACGATGGGGAATTCAGTCTCTGGTGTGACCGTGCTCGTGGTACACTCGAACCTAAGAAGGGTATCCTTGCCGTTTCCTTTTCTTGCAACCAATCATTTATTGAAATATTAAGTGATATGGATAGCTATTCTGTTCTGCTGTTTCTCACTCTAATTGAACGCAGACACATTAATAATTTATGCACACATATATTAAAAACTGACAAAATAGCAGAAGGATTTTAATATTGTTTATATTGCCAGTTAATTATTTTAAGTAAGAAGTAGTATATGTATAAATAAAGATATACTTTATACAGTGATTTAATAGAGAATTAATGTAATTGTGTTGTTTTTGTTTAAATTCCTTTTAGAAATTACAGAATTTTACCTCCAGTAATTTCACTGTAGAAATATGTTTCAACAATGGTCATGTACTATGTGTATTTATGACATCTATGATAATGAAATACTACTTATAATTTATCTTTTCTATGCATCTTTTAGAATATATCTGACAACTTCTGTTTGCAATTGATATATCTGAGTACTTTTTTTTTGGAAAAAAAATGATTTAAGATTTTCAATAAAAATTGAACAATTTAAGTGATATATGATCAGGGTTTTCCATAAGAGCCGGTCGCCGGCCAATTTGACTGGCTACCTTGATCATTTGGCCATCAACAACACCAATCCAGTTCAGTAATAATGTTCCGTACGAGACTACATGTACACGGTAGGCCAGCCTCCTACTTTCACTATACAGCCTACTACTAACAAAATTATGGAAAACCCTGTATGATTATTATACAGAGGTACATTCACAACATTTAAGGACATTGTGAAGGAGGTGATGAAATGGGAGACAAAACTGAATTCAAAGTATTTTATATAATTATGATAGAAAATATATAGACAATTGTTGATTGAAAGGAGGCCTTTAGCCTTGAAATAGAGTGTGGAAAATTTTCTTGAATTTTCAGGTCATTTCTTACAAGCAAGGGTATAATCTATTTATTCTGTCACCATTTTAAAAAGGAAATAAATAGTTTCTCAATGTACTTTGATTGTTTAGGTTTGGACTTGTGTTCTGCCTGGAATCCTGTGTGTATAGGCTGTGTCTATGGTGTTATTGGAAAGTTAATCATTCATCCAGGTAACACATTTAATTTAATATGATATATTACAAAGCTACTCTCTAATTATGATGTATAAGCTGTTGCCTTCTATTTGAGCTAAATCAGAAAAGTAAGATGTGATTAGACTGAAATATTATTGATTATTGTAATTATCTTAATTATTTTTCATGCTTAATCATTGATGTATTTTTATAATTTCATAGATTCAGATCCCAGACTGATTCTTATTCGGAAAAGAAGTTTGGTTGGTAAACTAAATGGTGTTCATGAGGTTTATAAGATTGACAAAGTCACTGTCCTTCCTTTGTCTACAGCAGAACCAGTGGAGCTTGACCTTGGGGTTAGTTGTCTTTGACAGAGTTTAAAACTACTGCATGGTGCTATGAATTTCCTGGATCAAAGTGTCATGGATTTATTACAAAAAAAAGTTTCAGGAGTTCAATTTAATGCAAAACTACAAAAAGCAAGTACTGATGTAGTCACATTAAATAAGATTTTGTCAGAAAACTAGCACAGTTCAGGGTGCATTTTCAGCACACCATCATCAGATTGTAAACTGATCAAATTACTCAGCATCCATGGTTGATTGTCTGTCCTCTATCCTTTGTCAGTCCTTAAACAATTTTGACTATCTTTATTTTCTGAATACTAGATGGATTTGTCTCAAATTTCATGAGAAAAATCCCCTTATTATCACTATTTCTTGAGAAGTTCTGTTATTAATGCTTTTATATATACATTATGTCTTTTGGTCTCTAGTTATGGCCTTGTAATTTTGGGATTGATACAAAAATTCTCAATAGCTGAGAGATGGCCACATATTTTTTGAGAAGCACAGAATGGATCTTCTGAAATTTCACATTTAGGTTCTCCTTGGTCTCTAGTTGTGCTCTTTTGACTTTGGGACTGATAAAAAAACAATGGCTGATAGATGGCCATCTTGAATGTTGACAATGAACTTTGGTATTATTACTTAATTAAAAGTGCAAAAATGGATCTTTGTCTAATTTTATATGTGAATTCCTCTTGGTCCTTTATCAAATGGACGTTTCTCAAATTTTGTATGTAGATTTCTCACGATCCCTAGTTGTGCTATTTTGATTTTGGAATTGTTCAGAAAACAAAACAAGTGATAGCCAAACCAGAAAAGAATAATTGATAGCAAAACAGAAGAAAGAAGAGAAAAGATGGCAAAGAGTCTAACTTTTAAAGAACAAATAATGATCAGGCTAATGGTGTTGTTGCTAAGGTCCTTTAGGATCTTTTGTTTAAGACATTAAATATGGTATGTGAAATAATGAGGTTATTAACAGTAAATAAATGGGTGTTCTGGAACCAAAAGTAGGATGTAAGATGTGTAGATGCTTAAGATTAAACATTAACAATTACTCAAACAAAATTTTACACATACTGCAAATTACACATGTTACATTCAATGTGATTTCAAAATGTTCACAACTGAAAAAGGCATATTTGTATAAAATTTGATTATGTAAAATATATTGCATTATTTTCATGTGTAGTTGTGTAAGCTGCACCATTTTGGGATGAAAAGGACTCAGAGGATTACCCAACAGGCAGAAGGAAAGCAACAGGCTTTACAGAAAACATGGAAAACTATTAAAAGTGCTGCTGAAAATGTCAAACCAAAAAAGGTGAGGTACTTCCAATGGCTATTAATCAAACATGGCAATAGTTTTTGTGATGAAAAAGTAAATGACAACAATGATGGCAATGTTGATGTGCACTGTGTGAGAAATGACCATTACTTCTTCATGGCATATGTTACCCTCATCAAAAATTGGCTTATAAGTATAATGAACCAAGTCCTTCAACATGATTTGTACAGGACTTTTGGTCATTATTCCAAGAAAAATGATTTCAGTGTAGGATGAAAATAAGAGTAATTTTGAAGTTTTACCTATTCATGGTGTGTATTTGCCATTAAATAGTTTTGTAAAACTATATAATTTGTTGAGGGAAAAAAAACCAGTTCATTTTTGAAAAGAAGCTGTGAAAGTGGATGATGCTAAACATCCCTAACAAAGAAGTAAAACTAACACATAATTGCTTGTTTTTCTTGTTCAACAGTTCAAATGAACTAAAGATTAATTGTTGTTTTGAATGATCTTTTATTTTTGTTAATGATGTTTAATAATTTTGTTTCCAGAAAGAGTTAAAAGACAGAGACAAGTTTGTCAAGAGAATTGTTGATGTAAGTATTAGATTAATTAAAAAATTGATGTAGCAGTCATCATGGACTGAAAACAGGAAATACTACTATGTTAGTAGGGTAGTGAAAAGTGTTCCTGATGGTCAAACACTGCATTCTTGCAAACTCTCCCTATCAAAGAGGGAGACTGTTTTTGGACTCTTTATTTTGCTGTTTTCAACAAATGAATTTTCTGAACTATTTTTATGTTCTAAGATCTCACGACTTCAATTGAACGAACAATTCAAAAGATGTCATTTACAAGTGTTATTTATTTACTGGAGGGTATAAACACTTATGTTATTAATGCTTTTATTTCTGAGCAAATTAAATTTGCCTCAGGAAAATTTTAAAAAGCTGTCGAGTTTGAAGTTCAATTTGGTATTTCTTCTAGTTATTTGTTTTGTATTGGTTAAACAGTGTACCTTAAGTGATAAGAAAAAGGAGATGGATATTAGATTTTCATTTTGTTGAAAGTCCAAAAGAAATCTCTTACAATGGAATCTACCTTGATACCTTATTTTAACTTAGGTACTGAAGATATTATGATACAAAATGTAACTGAAACAGACGTTAGTTAATATCTAACAACTGTAATTTGTCTTTCAAAGTATTTTTGATTTTAAGGCAAAATATACATTCTTCCTTCATGATTAATTTACTTATTTGAACCTTTATAAGACCATTGATGATAGATTTAAATTTTGCTTTTTCAATTTCTCTTTGTTTTTCACCTCCATTTTACTATCTTAATAGTGATACATCTTCTCCAGTTATATCTATGATTTCTTCTTGAAAACTTAACATAGAAGAGTGAATCAAGTTTAGTCTTTTTTGTCCCACTGCAATACACCTACTGTCAACAATTCTTGAGATTGCTAATTATTGAGAAGTATCCAATGGTTCGTTTTCAAATTTCAAATGTCACTGCCCATTGGTCCCTTTTGTTACCATTTTGATTTTTGGACTGATCAGAAAAGCAAAATGGCTGATAGGAGGTAATTTTGGATTTTAAATATTTATCACTGTTTCTTGAAATGGTCTGGATGAATATTTCTGTAGATTTCCCTTGGTCCCAGGTTATACTCAGTATTCCGAATCCATCTTGGATTGTATTTTTGATTAATATCCTCAAATTAAAGAGACACTTCGGTCTTTCATCTCAATTTCTTATCATTGTAAATCTTCTCCAGCCATCTTATATCTTAACTATGGATGAACACTTTTCTAATTTCCAAGTTTCAGATCCACAAATGAAAAAAACTACTTATTACAAGTGCTTATTGATAGATATCTAAGTCTTGACTGTGACATTACATGCTGTGTCAAGATGTTTCCAAACACATTTTTCTACATTATGAATAATTGATCTATTTCTTGTCTTTAGTCACTACTATTTCACCCCCAGTGGAGAAGTTGACCTCTGCCAGAGTAATGAATTACCTTGACCCTTGGTCATGCTATGTATTGTCTTTGAATAAGGTCTTCATTTTTTGATGCCCACACCTTGTTCAACAGAACAAGAGATGAAACTGTATTCATGGGAGTGTAAATACATTCTAGATCACAAGGCAATGATATGACATCAATTTGGTGCCATGTTGTCTGCATTACTTCAACACTTTGCATGTTGCTAAAGATAATTCTGTAGTTTTTACATTTTTTATCAGGATTATGATTTTCAGGAAGTTCTTCCAGTAAATCAGTGTTTAGGGATACTGACCTTTATAAATTGATGAAACAGACACAACTGTAAATATAACTATTGAAATCAGAATGTGTTATTGTCAATATGAATGCAAGTAATTAATCATTGTGTCAATTAATGTATGCCATACTGTTTATCTGTAACCCAGATTGCATTCATACTGACAATAAATACAATCTAACAACCATACAAAGGTTAACTGATATACACGTTTCTGTTTTTGCCTTATAACTTTCAATATACACTTTTCAATAATATGTTTCTGTTTTTGTAAAAAAGATAGACTAGATGACAGTTTTACAATCCTTAAAGGATAACTATCTGTTGTATTCCTTGATAACTACTATTGTCTACACAGGAGGTACTGAAGATGTACAACGACAGTGAATCCTTTTACTACTGTGAAACATACGATTTGTCAAACAGTGTGGAACGTCAACATCAGGAAAAGTATAATCAATCCCAGCCGATGTGGAAGAGAACAGATCCACGATTCTTCTGGAACAGTCACCTTGTCACAGAACTTGTCAACATGCAAGCTAGTGAAGAGGTAATATATCATTTGTTAGTGATTTTATTTAGTTAGGAAAACATTATCGACCACATTCATGTGGACATATTTGATAAATTGAACACAATTTGCTTAACAGAATATAAAACAGGTACATTTAAAAGATATACAAGTTAAGGCCATGTGTTGTTTCTTTTCAAAATAAATTTGTTAGCCATAATAATTCCCTAACAAACTAACTTACTTTGATCAATAAACCTTGTGCTGTGTTTTCTTTTGTGTAACTTGACAGACCTTATACTGAGCTCACTTGTGTAGTTTGACAAACCTTGTACTGAGCACTCACTCATGTAACTTGACAAACCTTGTACTGAGCACTCACTCATGTAACTTGACAAACGTTGCACTGAGCTCTCTTGTGTAAGTGACAACCTTGTACTGAGCACTCACTCATGTAACTTGACAAACCTTGTACTGAGCACTCACTCATGTAACTTGACAAACCTTGTACTGAGCACTCACTCATGTAACTTGACAAACCTTGTAATGAGCACTCACTCATGTAACTTGACAAACCTTGCACTGAGCTCTCTTGTGTAAGTGACAAACCTTGTATTGAGCTCTGTCTGTTTAGCTTGACATACCTTATGCTTAGTCCTCTTGTATGCAAGTTGCCTATTCTTGTACTGAGCTCTCCTATTCTAAGTTGGCAGACCTTGAACTAAGTTCTCACATGTGTTGTGTGTAACTTAAGTTTTAATTTGTGAAACTTGACAGACAATGTACTAAGCCCTCTTGTGTGTACCTTGAAAGACCTTTTACTGAGCACTCGCTTGTCTAGCTTGACAGACCTTGTACTGAGCTCTCTTATGTGTAACTTGACAGACCTTGTACTGAGCATCACCTGAGTATCTTGACAGACTTGTTACTGTGTTTTCTCTTGTGTATCTTGGTAGACATTTTACTAATCTTTCTTATTTGTATCTTGACAGACCTGTAAGGGTAACCTCACAGACCTTACACTCTCGTGTAACTTGACAGATCTTGTACTGAGCTCTGTCTTGTTAGCTTGACATACCTTGGACTTAGTCCTCTTGTATAAAAGCCTTTTCTTGTACTGAGTTTTCTTATTCTAAGTTGGCATACCTTAAACTGAGTTTTCACTTGTGTTTTGTGTAACCTCACAGTCCATTGACTGAGCTCTCACTTGTGTTGTGTGTAACCTCACAGTCCTTTGACTGAGCTCTCACTTGTGTTTTGTGTAACCTCACAGTCCATTGACTGAGCTCTCACTTGTGTTTTGTGTAACCTCACAGTCCTTTGACTGAGCTCTCACTTGTGTTTTGTGTAACCTCACAGTCCATTGACTGAGCTCTCACTTGTGTTGTGTGTAACCTCACAGTCCTTTGACTGAGCTCTCACTTGTGTTTTGTGTAACCTCACAGTCCTTTGACTGAGCTCTCACTTGTGTTGTGTGTAACCTCACAGTCCTTTGACTGAGCTCTCACTTGTGTTGTGTGTAACCTCACAGTCCTTTGACTGAGCTCTCACTTGTGTTGTGTGTAACCTCACAGTCCTTTGACTGAGCTCTCACCTGTGTTGTGTGTAACCTCACAGTCCTTTGACTGAGCTCTCACTTGTGTTTTGTGTAACCTCACAGTCCATTGACTGAGCTCTCACTTGTGTTGTGTGTAACCTCACAGTCCTTTGACTGAGCTCTCACTTGTGTTGTGTGTAACCTCACAGTCCTTTGGCTGAGCTCTCACTTGTGTTGTGTGTAACCTCACAGTCCTTTGACTGAGCTCTCACTTGTGTTTTGTGTAACCTCACAGTCCTTTGACTGAGCTCTCACTTGTGTTGTGTGTAACCTCACAGTCCTTTGACTGAGCTCTCACTTGTGTTGTGTGTAACTTAAATTGACATAGCATAGACTTTGTTATCTTGTGTAATCTGACAGACTTTGTGCTGATTTACTTCACATATCTTTTAAATTTGTGCTCTTTGTTCTGACTTCAAGGAGCTATGTATCATTTTCTCACTTATCACCTTGTGTATTGTGTACCAAACTTTCCATTGTGTATTACAGGAAGTAGAGCTGGCCAGCCACTGGATAACTCCCATCATCCAAGGATTCTTTCAAATTGAGAAATGTACCATGGAGTTCACTGATTTAGGGTCAAGCCCTGCGGATCAAATAGCACTGCCAGACTTTGGAAACACCAAGAACAAGGGCCCACTTTACTTCAACTTAGGCATTATCTCACGAAGGAGTATTCATAGGGCAGGTAGGTGTCTACAGAGTTGGTAGGTAGTGAAAACATGTTATATGTAACAGGAGTATCTATAGAGTGGGTAGTGTTATGTTATCTGTTACAGGAGTATCTACAGAGTGGGTAGTGTTATCATGTTATCTGTAACAGGAGTATCTACAGAGTGGGTAGTGTTATAATGTTATCTGTTACAGTAGTATCTACAGAGTGGGTAGTGTTATCATGTTATCTGTAACAGAAATATCTACAGAGTGGGTAGTGTTATAATGTTATCTGTAACAGGAGTATCTACAGAGTGGATAGTGTTATAATGTTATCTGTAACAGAAATATCTACAGAGTGGGTAGTGTTATCATGTTATCTGTAACAGGAGTATCTACAGAGTGGGTAGTGTTATCATGTTATCTGTAACAGGAGTATCTACAGAGTGGGTAGTGTTATCATGTTATCTGTAACAGGAGTATCTACAGAGTGGGTAGTGTTATAATGTTATCTGTAACAGGAGTATCTACAGAGTGGGTAGTGTTATAATGTTATCTGTTACAGAAGTATCTACAGAGTGGGTAGTGTTATCATGTTATCTGTAACAGGAGTATCTACAGAGTGGGTAGTGTTATCATGTTATCTGTAACAGGAGTATCTACAGAGTGGGTAGTGTTATCATGTTATCTGTAACAGGAGTATCTACAGAGTGGGTAGTGTTATCATGTTATCTGTAACAGGAGTATCTACAGAGTGGGTAGTGTTATCATGTTATCTGTAACAGGAGTATCTACAGAGTGGGTAGTGTTATCATGTTATCTGTAACAGGAGTATCTACAGAGTGGGTAGTGTTATAATGTTATCTGTAACAGGAGTATCTACAGAGTGGGTAGTGTTATCATGTTATCTGTTACAGGAGTATCTACAGAGTGGGTAGTGTTATCATGTTATCTGTAACAGAAATATCTACAGAGTGGGTAGTGTTATAATGTTATCTGTTACAGGAGTATCTACAGAGTGGGTAGTGTTATAATGTTATCTGTTACAGGGTATCAATGGAGCTGGTAGTTTAATCATGTTGTCTGTGACAGGGGTATTTATGGAGATAGTAGTTTAATCCTTATCTGTGACAGGGGTATCTATGGACCTGGTTGTTTAATCATGTTGTTTGTGACAGGGGTATCAATGGAGCTGGTATTTCAATAATTATCTGTATCAATCTTTTGCAGAGTGAGTGTTATTTTCCCAGCTTATTTTTTTACAATACTTGATTCATGTCATATTCAGAATAAAAAGTCTTTGAATTTCAATGCTCTGATGATATTTAACTATATCATTATCACAGGAACAAGATCAAAAAAGCGTGGGCTTGAGGAAAGTGGAGCGTGTGCCAACTACGTGGAGACTGAACAGGTTAGTTACTTGTACTGCTATTTTATTGTGAATCATCTGGTTGGATCACAATGGTGTTCGTTGGTAAAATCTGACAAAGTATTTGTGACCAGACTTCTGATCGATAACAATTCATTATTCATCGGAGTGAAGGGTAAGTGAGTGTGTGCCAGGGTGTAGGATCTACTGTCTATGGCCTCTGTCATGTAGCATGTTGAATTTGCTCAAATGTTTGAATAACAAAGTGACTCAGAGTCTTGATAGTTTGACAGCATATGTTCAAATTATCTGCCTTGTTTCATTTTCAATATCATAGGGTTCAGATCTTCTGAATATTTGGCATGTAGTATGTTTGGACGATTTATCTCAGTTAGTACAAGAGAATGACCTTGACCCGTTTTCAATGTCCCGTTGGTATATTACCGTATTTATGTTACAATAAACTCTTGCCTGTTAATAAATCCAACCATTGACTTTGACTTAGAAGTTTTATGTTGGGGAGTTAAGATAGACACCATTATGACAGAGATAATGATGAGCTGCTACATGTAGTGATGTAGTTTAGGGAGAGCATCATTTACAGTTGCCTATTAGAGTTAACAGTTAACAGTGGGAGCTGGTTTGAATTGGTGACCTATGACCCTAATACACTGTGATGATAACTTCAGCGAGACCTTCTGTTGATTGACTGGCTAAGATAAGCTGAACTTGGTCAACAGGTCAAAAATGCTTTGATCATATTAATTATGGAATCAAAGCAAAATTAGATAACCTGTATTTAGTTTGTAATTCTAAAAACACAGAATTTAACTCTGTAAACAAGTGGTGATTTATTATAAAATCGTCATTAAATCAGAAATGAAAATTGTTGCCTGGAATTTTCAATCTCAATTTTTAGTACAACATGAAAAAACTGATGGTCAAAGAGCCAAATTCATTTCCAACCAAACATTGTACCAGGTTTTCTGTTAGATAATCCACTGTGTTGTTAATGGTATATATAATGTAGAAATAATACTTATAGACATTCCTTCATTTTCTCAGTCAGTTTGTCATTATTTTCCTGTTATGATACATGTAATAATACAGACGTATGTAGCTTTATTGTAACACATATGCACATTAAAAATAAGAGTTATCTCTCTTCTGCCTGGGCCTCACCCTCATCTGGTCCTAATGTAATGTTTTCTCCTCTTGATTGCTCTGATAGAATGAATATGTTAGAATTATCTAAGCACAAAATTTAGCAAAGTACTTGTTTTTAGTCTTTTATTTAACAAGATTAACAATTAGTTTCTTGGGGGATCAATTTTCGTTAAAATGTTCCTACTGGTTTGTCTTGGCTCTCTCTCATACACAACTTGTCATTGTAACTTCATACTCTGGTTATGGGTTCACCTTAGTAAGGTGGTATGTCATGTATTAAAAGTAGATCATTCTCATCAACCTTTTCACCTTTGACCTACATCAAATGAAAATTTCGTCTGGGTTTTCTCTCACACACAATTTGTCACTGTAACTTCATACTCCGGTTATGGGTTCATCCTAGTAAGGTGATATGCCATGTATCAAAAGTAGGTTACTCTGATTTACATTTTGACCTAAATTAAAGAAAACATTTGTGTCGGCCCTATCTCCTTCACTACTCACCACTGGAACTTCATACTTTGGGTATTGGTTGATTTAGGTGAGACAGTGTGCCATATATTACAAGTAGGTCACTCTGACCAGCACTTTGACCTTTGACCTTTGACCTCTAGCTCCTACGTTTATCTCACTGGAACTTTGTATCCAATACCTACCCTGATCAGGAGGACCATATTTAACATTATGTTTTAATTATCACCTGACAAGAGAAAACCATACAAAGTAATCGTTTCACCAAAGCGAGTAAGGCTTAAAAGTTACAAAATATGCTATTATGAGTCATACGAAATGTAAATATTTATGTAGTTTTATTTTAAGAGATAATTTATCAGGTCTTACAACTTCCAGACTGACCAATAATAAGCACAAGTGTCCAGGTGTGTAGTCAGTGGCAGGCAATATATGTGTACATCTTTCTTCTGAAGTAAAATCACATCATTTTTCTCTACTTTCCACTTCATCAAAAAACTTACTCTATAAAATTTTGTTCTGTATTCATTAACTAGGCCATATGTAGAACATACAAAAATATTAAGGATGAATGTAAGACTAGTATAAATTCATACTGGGATCTACCAGAAAGGGAAAAATCATGAAAATTTAAACAAAAATATGGACCAAATCAGTGTCCAGGGTGGTTATGGATGGTTACGTTTTCTTTGATTTAGCTGACTGAGCATAAGCCTATGGTGTGTCAACATGTGAAGTATACCACAGGATCAGATGTTCAATATGAAACATCAAAATGTTCTATATGTGAAATATAGCCATTATACTTTAAGAGAGCTGGAATTTTATATATGAATTTTATATCTATTAATCCTGCTATTTTTAATATATTATGATAGCTATATTTTACATATAGAACGTCTGATTCCCGTATACATAGTTATGTTACGCTAGCCCAATGTTGTCAGGGTTGATTCTCCCGAGTGTCTCAAGTCAACTGCAACCATACATCCCATTAAATGTGACATGTGTTCTAGGTTGTGCTTGAAAGCTGCTTTGTGATTAGCTTTACAGTTATGAGGCTCTCCGTAGGGAAATCAGACTCAACGTTTTCTTTAAATTTCATTAGATTACTAATTGCTGCAAATAAATAAAAGTCATGTGCATAAAAAGTAACATAAATATTTTTAATTATTTTAAGCATCATCTTTAATTGGTGCTTTTGTAAAGCATTGTAATCCTGGTATGGTACAGAACAGATTTAGATTTGGTCATGTAAACTTTGTTCACATCTGCAAACAAACCCTTCCTAAACAGACCAAATGTTCATGTCCCATGTATGGCCAGATTTGAGAAGTTCCCACAGAATGAAAGAAAGAAAAATAATAAAAAAGAAGAAAATAAAGGGACAATGAAGACAAAATGGAAAATGGATAAAAAAACATCATTGCAATTCAACAATTTTTTATTGACAAAATCTTATAGTCAGTGTGGATAAAAATAGTAGGCAACATCTATACGAATTCTCTCAGTGACCAGAGTAGACTGTACTGTTACTTAATAAATTCAAGATAATTTTTTAGTATATTGCAAATGAAAAATTGACACACATATATATATCAGGTCACAAAAACTGAGTAAAGATAGATCATACAGTGTAATAGGAGTAGGCTGATGTGGCTTGCATATCATGTTAAATACAGTCTCTTTCACTCAGCTGACAGAGCATGCTTCTTTGGCTCAGTTGGAACAGTTGGTCAGTTATTACACTAGAGACCTGGGTTCGATTCCTATTCGGGGCACTCGACAGGAATGTGTATTTCCCCCGTTCTTTTATACATAGCAAATGAAAGGAGGTAACTTTCATTTCATACCTCATAGACTCCAAACTTATAAAGCAAACATGCAGATAAAATTATTATTAAAAATACATAATACAATAGGGAACAGATTTGGACCTAAAGTCCTTGTGCATGTTACTGCATGGTCACAACTGTAAACACTGATGTCAATGGAACCAAAATTTCATTTCAATGATTATTATATGTAGGTGAATGAAGTGAACAGCCATATTTTTCCAGTATGCTCCATGTTTTTCATTAATGGTGGGATTTTCCATTAAAAAAAGTTGAACAGCTTCCATAAGGATTTTTTTTGTACCGATGAGTCCATCACAAGCAAGAAAGCCTTGGAAAAGATTCATATCAATGTGATAATGATCATCATAGTTATAAAGAGCAGTAAAAAGGGAAAATCTTTGGTAATCATCCAAAAGATTTTCTAAAAAGTAATGAGTAATTGCTATGTGATTGAAAGTTTCCTGGAAATCAGTGGCATCAGATTATGTTAGTTTGACTTTAATTAGTAAAACAGTGTTACATGAGTTGTCTCCCTTCTTTCCTAATACAAAGTGGCAGGAGCTGCTTTTGATATTGGTTTTATTTCACACAAGCAACATTGCTGTGATTAGTAACCTGACCTCTGTTTGCTTCCCAAGAATGATGAACTGTTCCATCATTATTACATGTTTTTCCTTAGGCAGCTGGTTATTGTGTCCGAGATTGAAAGGAGGCAGGAAATTTTGTTATGAGTTCGTAATCATTTATTCTTTGATTTTTTATATCCTCGTTTTTCATTAATTTTTGTCTGGAAAATGATTTTTTTTCCTTGAAGAGCTTGTTATTGAGGAAGTCTTAGTCATTGAAATGTTTTATTTGTGTATTCCAAACACTCCTTTTTTTCTGTTATAGAGGCTTTAACCTTGAAACACTAATTATGGAAACCCTCATCAACATTACTGTCAAAATAAAGTTGATGGAATGCCTTGAATTTTGGGCATACTCATGTTTCTCGACTCCTTTTTTGATTTAGCAAAATGATTCCAGTATTTCTTTTTATATGTAAGTTGGTTATCTGATATAAAGATAACTAACTACCTTACTAGCTTTGAGGAAACGTGACAATGAGATAGGCAATGTTTATTAATTCCTTGTTTGTTTGTTTATTTTTTTAAGAAAGAGAATAAGCTAACCAAAGCAGTGAAACTACTATGCTCATTTTACAAGCAAACAGAACTGGAATTGATGACACGTACATTTTTATGATAGACTACGCAATTGAATGAAATGTTGAAAATAGGTGATGCAATATCAATTTTACTTGAATGTCTGTTTCAAGGATTCCCTTATATGGAATGACAATTTATGGTAGTCACACCATATAGACGGTAATGTAAGACACCATATTTGAAGTAATTTCATGCTTGACAATTCGGTGAAATTTTATCAGAGGCCATTAAGAGGTAAAACCATTGGAGTGTCAGAACTTTCATTATCGCTCTACAGGAAAATTAATTTCTGAATGGATTTTGACAAAAAATGTTCAGAGTTAAGAAAACTCATAAATCTTTGCCCAGCAGACTCATG